TTTTTAATAACCTTTTGTAATCATATGCGGTATTAGTAGATAAATCATTTCTTTTATTCTTGTGTCTTTTCTTTTATATAAAGATGTAGATATATGTATTTTTTTTATTTTATTTTGTACAGTCGTACAATGGGTTATTGGCATGCACAAAAACTTAGAAGTCAAGTTTCGCAAAATATAATAAATATATAAAAACCTAAGAAAAAATGTAACATTAATATTCGATCCTATAACCTTTAATTTAAAACTAACATTCTTAACTTCTTATCACTGAGGCTAGTTAAGCAAGTGTTGTATCTGTAACTAAACCATGGATATCGTTGATTCAATACTTTAAAATCCGTATGATTTACTTTGGAATCCAACAATTACCGACAAAAGGTCATTGAATATTCAAATGCACGGGGGTGGAAGCCCATATGGATCTTTCGGTAAAAAGTATATGTGGATTTCCGCTCATCCAGATTTGAAGTATAACACCATATGTGAATGTGTAATAAGATCAATCGCAGTGAAAGTTTTCAACTTTTTAAACAGTTATATAAAATTCAAACCTTTTGAAAATCGGAATGTGATTCTACCTTCCTGACTCTCCTCTATATTACCCATTTTTGTTTTGGGTTTCTATGCAGTCTTCATCGAGATATTATTTCCGTCGTGGGTTCTGGTGTGTCCAAAACATGCAAAGCATATTATGAAGAAAATGTCACTAAATTTAACGGACTCAAAATACAGCGATTTTACGAAATCTCGCCACAGACCGATACTCAACATTCGAACGAATCCCGATTTAAACATTTATTGATATTTAATTGCATTTGAGCTCCATATGTGCTGAAGAGATCCATTAGTGCATGGTATTAAAAAATTAGCAACATGGTTACGGATCACTTTCACAAAGTGTTGTAGTTTTAGCAAGGCACCTGGTTAAGGTTTGATTTAATGATTGAGTTTGTATGAGAATTGAGACCTCATTTGTTGTCATTATTTATTACTATAAATCTGTTGGGGCTAGACTGTGTATCAGTCTGGGAGATTTTAGTATGGTAACTCTGTCAACAGGTACCTGCATAAATTATGGACAAGAGGCCTGCAATTGTTGTGTTTAGGGAACTCAATCATTGGTTACCATCATAAATATTCCAGGAATCAGTCTGTTTGTTTCTGGTACAGTTACTTGATCAACACTTGTCGTCATAAATATAGAAGGCTTAGATTTGTCAATTAACACTAAGGTAACCTCCAAATATGGAAAGTCAGGTATTTCATATAAATACTGGGACAAGATTTTCTGGGGGCATTCAAGTTTCTAGATTGAAGAGTCAAGATTCAGGATTCGAGATTGAAGTTTCAAGAATGAGATCTTAAGAGTTAGATATAAAATTCTCAGTGACTTATCAACCATGTGTGAGGAAGAAAAACTCTGTAACTTTAAATATTAATTGTAGATTAGAATTTAGGACACTTTCAAGTAAATAAATGGTGAAATGAAACTGAAAACAGTTATTGTTTATTTTATGCAAATATGTGAAATTATGGAAGTAGTAGAAATTATAAATTACGAGAGAGAAGAATTTAGAACAAAAGCAATCTATCCTTTATTCTTTTGTGTATCATTCTGTAATAAAAACTTTTATCCGAAGTAGACAGATTTTCACGAGACGAGCTTAAAACATAGTTTCCAAATAGAGATAAAAGACATTCTACATTCTAAAGGTACTGATTATACATAGATATGGTGGGAATTTTTATTTATAGACGTCATATGCAGTGCAATCATAATATAACTTTTAGGTACATTATTTTCTGAAAGCAACCGTTATATAACATCATTCCTCTGGTTCAGTTGCGGATAAGTCCTGGCATTAGAATGGATGTTCTTCTTACAAGCAATGTAAGGCACAAGGAAAATAGCCTCTGGAGACCAGCATGGCACGGTCGATTTATCGACCGGCTATTTTTTCTTTTTACAATATATGAAGTGTAAGAATTTTCGTTAAAAACACCATTTTCTATAGGCAACAGTTAAACACTATTTGCCTGATTTTGTTTAGGATAAGCCCTTGTATTAGTTCGGAGGTTTTTTCTTTATAAGCAATATAAGTAAAAAGTATATGTGGATTTCCGCTCATCCAGATTTGAAGTATAACACCATATGTGAATGTGTAATAAGGTCAATCGCAGTGAAAGTTTTCAACTTTTTAAACAGTTATATAAAATTCAAACCTTTTGAAAATCGAAATGTGATTCTACCTTCCTGACTCTCCTCTATATTACCCATTTTTTTTTTGGATTTCTATGCAGTCTTCATCGAGATATTATTTCCGTCGTGGGTTCTGGTGTGTCCAAAACATGCAAAGCATATTATGAAGAAAATGTCACTAAATTTAACGGACTCAAAATACAGCGATTTTACGAAATCTCGCCACAGACCGATTCTCAACATTCGAACGAATCCCGATTTAAACATTTATTGATATTTGGCTATAAACGAAGGAATCACTGCTCAAAATTGCATTTAAGCTCCATATGTGCTGAAGAGATCCATAAGTGCATGGTATAAAAAAAATAGCAACATGGTTACGGATCACTTTCACAAAGCAATCTATACTTTATTCTTTTGTGTATCATTCTGTCATAAAAACTTTTATCCGAAATAAACAGATTTTCACGAGAAAACATAGTTTCCGAATAGAAAATGATAAAAGACATTCTACATACGAAAGGTATTGATTATACGTAGATATGGTGGGAAGGTCTTGCTTATTTTTTATTTATAGACGTCATATGTAGTGCAATCATTCCCAATTTTCGTAATATAAAGGTACACTATTTTCTGAAAGCAACCGTTATATCACATCATTCCTCTGATTCAGTTGCGGATAAGTCCTTGCATTAGAATGGATGTTCTTCTTTACAGCAATGTTAGGCACAAGGGAAATAGCTTCTGGAGACCAGCATGGCACGGTCGTTTTATGGACCGGCTATTTTTTCTTTGTACAATATATGAAGTGTAAGAATATTCGTTAAAAACACCATTTTCTATGGGCAACAGTTAAACACTATTTGCCTGATTTTGTTTAGGAAAAGTCCTTGTATTAGTTCGGAGGTTTTTTTCTTTATAAGCAATATAAGACACAAAGTTATAAACCAAGGTAAATGGCACCGACCGGCCTGCGTGTCATGGTCGTTTCTTTGAATTAGCAATTTGTTCTTCCTGTATGTAATGTTTATGAATTTTCGTGAAATACTCACCATACTTTAATTAACCCAAGGAAAATAGCATGTAGAGAATCGCATGTCATGGTCTTTTTTCACTAACATTCTGCTCAAATCTGATAAATGTTGGCATATCGCTGTGCGCGCTATGTGGGGGTTTTAAGTGGCAACTTTAACGCAATATTTTCTGTTTTATTTTGTTAATTTGTGTTGAATTACAAAATTGCATACATTGCTGTATATGTAATATATAGAAAATATTTGTAGATGATTATGTACTATGTACAAATCTTAATTACTTATCTGTTGCAGCCCTTCAATTGACCATTAGGCGGTGGGAGGGGGTCACACCTTAAGCCCAAAAAGACAATTGTTTAAAGAATAATGATATAAAGGCAACACTGTGTTTTCTTTCTGAAATCAAGAGAGTTATTTTCATAACCACATATGTGCCATTTTAAATAAGGTATGTTTTAGTTATAAATGAAGAATTCTATTTATTTTATACACTTTCATTCTATGGCATTTTTCTCGGTGTTGTTGAAAATTATCTAATTAAAATTTTAATACTTCTTCATGCACTTCATTCATTTTTATTTTAAAGGCATGCATATTTCATTTGATACCAAATTATCGAAATTGGTTAAGGAAGAAAATTGGTAAAGAAGGGAATGCCGCGGTTTTCTTGTGTGGTATTCTTGGGAAAGGGAATTAAAGTAATTAGAAACAAATATTTTAATACTTCTACATTATTCTTTTTTTTCAATTTAAAGGCATACGGGGTAATCTTTTATTTGATATCAAAATCATTAAAAGAAGTAAGTAGCGGAAATATTTTTCATAATTTCCAACCTAAAAATTGAAGATAGTTCCTTACTGATAACATTTAACGGTATTCTTCCTAGTTTACCCAGTTTACAGCATAGTTTGTGGCCTAGAACATCTTTGCGGAATATATCTGATTTTCCAGTTGTTTTTTTTTAGTAACAAACATCCCAAATCTCTGAGCCGTATATAAAAGTTTTGGCACTACACTGTATCATACACATGCAATAACATTTTTTTTGTTTTATTACCAAATTATTACAAATTGTCAGATACAAACGTAAAATCAGCACATTGTCGTATGCTCTTTATCAAGATGAATTCTGTCAGTTGCAACGAACCAAGTTGTTGCATTCTTCTCTCTCACATATGCTGATCAACTAGGAAAATAATTACAAACATGTGTTTGTAGCTGTAGCTCGAACTACGGTTTCCATTTGGAAACGTTTTCTGGAAAATGTGGAAATTATTGTGATATCTAAATAGATATAAACAAATAATTATCGGACACAATTTTCAACAAAGCCAACAGCTAATATGTTGTTTTTTTTACTGTGACAAGTACAGCACGGGAAATGACATGGTTTTATATCGCATCATTTCGGCTTCTAGAAGTTTCTCAGCTTCATTGATGGAAACTGACAAAGAGGCAAGGCGCAGGCATGCGGCAGCACTTACTGCATTTTAATAGTGGCGTTGACGAAAAATAAATACAGTTTTGTCATACATTGAACATCATATATTTGCTTCGGTGTCTTCTTTTACAAATATTTTAAAGCCTAAATTCAGTTTTTTTTTCGCATATTGAAATGTGACCTTGTCCCAAAATTATCTTGACCTTGCAGTAATTCAAAGTATATTGTTCACCTGAGGATTCAAATATTATGATTTAAGCCTACCTGTAGTATGTTTTAACTGATGTATCTAAGAGAAGTAACTCATGAGTGCAGAGTTGCTTTTTTCTCTAGTTATCTCTCTTGAAGTTTTTAATGGTATTGTCAAGAAACATTATTTATTCATTTGACAAAATATACGTATATCAGCATACAAGTAAAGGGAACAAAATATTTATATAGATATTGTGACATTATATCAGAATTAAAAGTATATGTACATATATTAAAAGTGCTTAAATCTGAACAATTTATAAGATAAGAGTAAAGAAAATAATTAAATTGACTAGTTCAATTTAGAATCAGTTCTTTCGACAATGTCCGTCAAACACCGCTGTGTCACTCAGTGAATGTTTCCCAACTCTGGTAAGAATTTTTGAAATAAAATTTCGCTGCAGGCTTTTCAATGCGCGAAATAAAATCTTGGGTATACATTTTTTAAGTGATCATCCTGAACAGTTACAAAGTGACATTTACAACATCTCTACTTCAATATAAAAGAATATAAAAAAAAACAATGTGAACACAACAAGTTATGATATACCGCTGTGGTAAATGGTAATGAGACACGTTTTAGAATATATGTTATTCGTTTTCTATAAAAACTATAAAAAAAATGTCTGTCACTTAAATATTTATGATTTGTTTGTCAAATTGTAGGCAAATATTAAACTGTAGAGGATGTACATCCACTTCTTTGAGCCAGATGAACTAGATTCTGACCCTGAATCAGGACCTGATCCTCTGCCGGATCCTGTGTCGGTACCGTTTCCCGACCCTGTCCCTGTCCCTGAGCTAGAACCACCGCATTTGCCTCCAGATTTATATGCGATCATGTTTGATGTTTCCTTCACCCAGAACGTTTCCTTCACTTTCACAATTGTGCATCTGAAATGTAAAGATAATAAAGGAATATAGACCGGAAATGTACTATTGTTTGTCATTACACATGAAATGCAGGCAAGGCGCATAATTTCATGATCAGCGTATATACATTGATAGATTTGGATTATTATTATTATTATTATTATTATTATTATTATTATTATTATTATAAGAAGAAAAATTGTAAAGTTTGAGAAGGAAAAATAAGAACGTTTTATACTAACTACGCACATATTGTATACGTATATCTTATTGTGAGTCAAGGGAAGACCTAGTTATTTCTTTTTGATTGAAGTAGCCAAAGCCTAGAAGCAATTATGACTTTCTTACAGACGAGACCGCTATGACCGTCATAATAGACGTGACGAGCATTTTTTTCTTACAGACGAGAGTCACTCGGGTAACTAAGCATTTACTTTCAGACCAATTGTCTGCTTTACTCAATACATGTGTTTTAATCTCAATGGTAAGCAATGGTCCATTCTAATGTCAAGGACAAGTCCAGATTACAGATTTAGCATGGTGACACAGTTTGGGAAAAGGCTGATCACTCTAGAGCAGCAAAGACAAGAATAGTGAGACGGTAAAAACTGCAGACTCTGTTTGATCGAGTTCGTTCATGAGCGCAATATCTCTCACACTCTCTAGCACCGGCTAAAGCGTTATTCAATCCTCCAAATTAGTTTAAGATGTTGTATCAAGCTAGAATATGAACACACGTACACAATATAAAGGTTTTCTGTCGTCGCAGACGACTTCCAGACAAATGACAATGCAGTTTTGTCGCTGGCCTCTGTATGTGTAAGAGCAGCGTTCTGAAGTATAAAACATCTCCCTTTCATGATCATCATAAATTATACTATAAATACTGAACAGTCTTATAAGTAGTATATACTCTGTCAATTCTTTACAATAAATTTTTATGTCAATGTAAATCTGTCATGTTTAGTGCGGTCCATTGATTTTTTTTTCGTTGAGGGCACTAACATTATATGTTACCTTAAACACACTGTATTTATACAGATACCTATTAAACGTTTATTTGTGTTTAGCCATTGATAATATAATGCTACAGCCGCAAAATAAATAATAGCCAAAAAAAGAACATGTCATACTATCATAATTATAATTCAAAAAATTATCAGTATATTTTGTAAAATTTACAATAGTCAATTAATGAAAACCACATACTGTTCCACATTTGTTCACTGTTGGTATATCACCAGGGGCTACAAGTGTTCCAACAGTTGTGTAGGCATTTGGATTCGATCTTGGTTCACACAAAAATCCCTTAAACGAGCTTGACCCATTGATTGTCACTGTAATGGAATTTTTTTAAACGTGCTTGAATATTTTATAGTGATACGTACGTTGCCGAGTAACATTTATGTTTTCATTACATGCCTGAAGACAAGTTTTAATATCTATTCGTATCATTTAAATTTGTAAAAGGGGGAAATGAGCTGTATATCAAATAAATTTCATAGCTACTTTAAACATTTTTTTTCAAATCAATTTCGTGTCTATAAATACTTGTTTTTACTTTTACTTGTTGGAGAAAATTAATCAACATTCACATGTTACAAGCTTGATTTATTAACGCAACGTTGAATAATGGTGATTTAATGCAACCGTGTAAACATTTGCGCAAATAAAATTTAATATACCGGTGATTTCTTCGTCTGGACAACTGTACTCTTCCGCGGACAAAGTTATGCTGTACGGAGAAGTGGCACTCTGCGGGTCAACGCGATGCCCGGGTACCATTTGGTTACATTGTCCGCCAGGAGCACCGGAACTATACCCATGTACGCCTACACACAACGAAAGTAGTCCGGCAAGAAAATAGGACATCATTCTATTATGTTTTTTTTTTAATTATAACTGTAAAATAAAAGAAAACAAAGCATAAAAATCGCCAATGAAGTATTCCGTGTACTAATTTATTTTTCAAAAATACATGTATCTAAAATCGTCTATACTTTAACCATTTGAACGACACCGCACCCAACATGCAGTGCTCTTGCGTAGTCCATAAAATATTCATGAGTAAAGATGTAACAAAACCACTGTCGCCCAGACAATTACTAACGTAAAACCTATTGTTTATCATAGTGCTCATCTGATTATGAATCATCTGAATCGTGAATATATATTAAAACAAACTCCACCGAGGTCCAAAAGTCTAAAACCATAAAGTTTGAATTTCTTACATAAATTAGCTGGGACACTTAAAACAGAAAAAAAGTGCAGAAGATAATTAAGAAATATACTAAAAAATAAATTGAAAATCGTATTTTGTGGTATTCCTTTTGGTCATTTTTCACAATTAAAATAATTATTCAGGGAAAACAGAGTGAGCGGATGATTTGAAATTAATATAATACACTAGTTATAATGGTACAAACCTTCATCAAATGGTACAAATTATCTCGACAAATTATTTCCAGTCCTGTCATGTAAAAAAAACTCAGTCGAGTCACTTTAATGAATATGTAACAACAATATGTAAATGAATATCTATCATGTCGCAATCAAACATAACACCATTACGTTTCTTTTTTCTTTCTTTTTTTTTGTATTGCACAAGTTTAATATAAATACGGTCCCACAAACTGTGATTTCGAATTCTGTTTTTCGTCGTTTTCGGGCTTTATGACATCAAGTGATAAAAAAGAAGAATTCATTGTAATTTCATTAAAACTTAAAGGCACATTAAATTTCAGAAATGACTACTAGTCAACTTCTCAAGAAAGGACAAATATATGTTATATAACATATAAATGATGTATTTATAGCATGTTAAATGTTTATCTCGTGAAGACAGTAGCGCTGCATGTGAAATAATTTATTATAAATGTACCTAAATGTAAACAAAGTGCTATTTTGATCATTATACAAAATACTTACACACTGTACCAATACTAATTGATAAAAAGAAAAAAGAAGCAAAACAAAATGATTCAGCTATATGTGGCTTATATGAGTACCATTGTGGAAACTAACATTTCACTAAAAACAAGCAGCTTTTTGAAATTAAATAACATTGACCTTTAAAAGTACTCAAAAGCTTGGCACGTTGTGCTCGCTTTATAACCTTTCATTCACTGACTTGATATAAGTCTATATGATGTTTAACTTACTCGTACATGCGTATGCTAGTTAACGTACATATATGGTCTATAGAGACAATGTATCATCACCGATTATGTACATGCATAACTTAATAAGTGTATGTGGTTTTATTACATTGTAGTTGCCCTTACATCTATTTACATGTGATAAAGCCTAAATGTTTGTTACAAAGAACGATTTTTTTTCTTTGATTAACACTATATATATACATATATAAAGAGCAAGTTAAGCATATAAAAAAGTGTAATATATGGAGAGCAAGTTAACCTTACAATTAAATAAATCCTGTTATAATATCAAATATAACTTATTAACAACAAATGTCAGCATAAGAAAAGATAAATTAAAGAAATTTGAAATTAATTACAAAAATTCAAAGAACTAATATAAAGAACAGACATAACATATAAAGAACAGATATAGCATATAAAGAACCGACATAACATATAAAAACAGATATAGCAAATAAAGAATAGATATAACATATAAAGAACAGATATATCATATAAAGAACAGACTAACACACAAAGAACAGATATAATATAAAAAGAACAGATATAATACATAAAGAACAGACATTACATGTAACATATAAAGAACCGACATAACATGTAAAGGACAGGTATAACATATTAAGAACAGATATAATATATTAAAAGAACAAATAATTCAATGTAAAAACAAATTTATCATCTACATGCTTTGTACATCGGTATTACAGTTATATATGCACTCTGTCAATGCAATAAATGTGCAACAATTATGAAAATCTGAAATTAATAAGTATTTTTTAGACTGTTTCACGTCTTCTCTTTTCTTTTGTATTGTTATTTTTTATCATTGGTTATTGTTTTGTTTATTTGTTATTTGTTGTTTTTTCAGACGACATTCGCTTAATTGGTTATAAATGAAATATTGAAAAAGTAAATAATATTTTGTCATCATATATACATATGTATAAATACCAGTACATTATTTGACATAAATATGTACACGACGAGAGTATAAGAGCTGGATTTTTTGAATTTTTAAGTAAGGAATAAAGAGATCTTGTAAAACGAGTTGAAAAATGTTCTTGTACACTCTCCAGTACATGTTACAACATAGAAAAGTGTCCTCTTTGATATGGAACTATAGACTTATTGACATAGTGTTTAGTCTCAGCTTCACAAGTACGATATGGTACTTATTCACACCTCTTACACTCGGATATCAATCGATATAATACAATGATGCAAATAAAATAATAATAATAAAATAAGAAAAATCAATTATTATACATGTGGTCGAATACAATTTATTCAAATAATTACATAAAAAAAGTTAATTAACATTATATAAAATATATGTCACACACCTACTTGTATTAGCATGAAGAATAATATACATATCAAATTTGATAGCAACAATTATCTGTACATACCTTCTTCGATGTGTACAATCCACCTGTCAATGTCTTAATGGATCGGTCAGCCTTCCGATGTCCAGGTCAATCCTTCGATGCAATAGTGGGTGTTTATTTATTTAAAACGTTCTGATATACATATAAATGACAAAACTAATGATAAGTAATTATCGTGAAACGTTGTACTAGTATATATTATGATATTTAGGTGACTATTTATGGTGCGCTTACGGCAACAGTGAAAACAGTTATTACCTTAGCTCGTATACTCCCGGCAAAAATATTCGCTTAACAGTCGCAGTTTTGTGGTTTCTCGGGGGTTTATTTCAAAACAATTTCAATGTTAAAAATGTTTGTGGGTTTTGAATCCGTTTAGAAAATGTTTAATTACGAAGTCATGTAACTTAAAGGGTACGCATCGACCTAAAGGCTTGAGTCAGAGGTGGTTGTCTAAAATATAAACACCATTATTTTAGCCGTGTCACGACAAAACCAATATAGTGAGTTTGCGACCAGCATGGATCCAGACCAGCCTGCACATCCGCGCAGTCTGATCAGGATCCATGCTGTTCGCTCACCAACCCTATTACAAGTAGAGAAACTGATAGCGGATGCGCAGGCTGGTCGGGGTCCATGCTGGTCGCAAACCCATTATGTTGGTTTTGTCATGACGCGGCTCATTTATTTATATCTATTAGGTAAAGTTGATTGTATGATGCGACACTCCTAATTTCTGGTGACAAAACCGTAAGGTCGTGAGGATAAAAAATGCAAATACAAATATAGAAATAAACGGATGTATCCTTCGAAAAAAAAAACACAATGGTGTTACATGATGTAATCATAAAACAGTCAGGATACAAAAACTACCTCAAATACTGTTTATAGGAACTTTATTTACACGAATAATCAATATTAAAGGGACTCCGCTGAGTTTTTTTAGATGGTGGAATTGGAAATTATTTTTCGAAATAAATGTTTCATTTGATGTTGGTATAGACAAATAACTTAATTGTGTGCAAAATTTCAGATCATTTGCTCATTCCGTTTTTTCCAGATTTCCCTTAAATGACCCAAAATTGAAAAAAAGGTTGCAACGATTTTAACTCAAATGTTGTTAAGAATAGCACAAAAGTATGATTTTACAATTTATTTTCTGGATTATTTCTTACTTTTCTTTTGCATAATTATTTTTCTGTTGTAAGTACAGTACCACATCTGTTTTATGAAAGAATTTCAAATTCTATGTATTTAGGCTTTTGTACCTCAGTTGAGTTCCTCTAAGAATTTCAGAATCTCCTGATACAAGTTATTGTTAAAACATTCTTGATTACTCAGCTGTTGTTAATTGGTTTATAAGTTTCCAAGTTTTAACTCAATATCTCAGAATGCCTATAACACGAGAAAATTAGCCTTTAGATATTCTTAAATAATTACATAAACACTAACATTGCTTATTGCCTATCTTTAGTTTGTCCTCTATCACCTTTCTTCAATTTACTTCCGATCTGATACTTGTTGGTTTGGAAATAGTTTCTTCAATTCAACATTCAAAAATTCTTGGCGCAAGTTCTTTCGAAAGAAGATTTTGTTTCTTGGGTTTCTTCTGTTTTAATAAAAATGATTGACTTTTACTCATTTCAACGGATACTCTATTGCCAAGATTATTTCATAAGCAGCCATGTTGATTATTGTTCTTTGTACTTTTTTTATTAAGTGTATATTTTATGCTATAGTGATCCTTTTTGTATTGCATTCTTTTCTCTCTTTTTTTAATTTTATCCGTGTAAATTTTCGTAAAAAGTACTGTTTTCTAGAGCACAATTGTGCGATTATGTTCATTTTGTTTATCAAGTGCATAAAGTTTCGTAAAATATAACCATTTTCATTCTCAACTGTTAAAATTAAACGTGCCTGCGTCCCTTGCGGATTCGCTTTTACATTAGTTTAGAGCGCTTTCTTTACAGTAATATCAGGCCCACAGCCCTAACCTAGCCATCACATTATTCATTCATTTAAACCTCCGATTTGTTATGTGTGTAGATTTTGGTTAAAAGTATCATTTTCTGAAGCCATCTGTTAAAACACCATTTGTCTGATTACGTTGCGGATTCGGTTTAACATTAGTTTGGAGGGTTTTCTTTACAGCAATGCCCTAACCCTAAGTAGGGCCTTTCCATTTGAAAGACCCTGCTCTAAGCAAAATATCCGGGAGATTTCTACGTGAAGTGGTCGTTTTTTGGGACCGGAGATTTGTTGTTTCTGTATATAAATGTGTACATTTTCGTCAAAGAGCCAACCGTTTAAACATCATGTGTCTGATTCCGTTGCGGATTCGTTTTTACATTAGTTTGAAAAGTCTTATTTACATTTATATTACTGGTCGTTCTTTGGACCATCTGTATAATTATAGTCATTAAAGAGTTTAAATTTTTGTAAAAAGAAAAGCACACCATTTTCTCCAGTCCACTATGGGACACCATTTGTTTGATTCCGTGGCGGATTTGTTTTTACGTTAGTTTTCATGGTCTTCTTTTGAGCAATAGAACACCAAAAGACCTCAACCAAGCAAAACGTCCGGCAAAACCCGCGTGGCATTGTCGTTTTTTGGACCAACTATGTATAAAATGTGTATATTATGGTAAAGGGTGGAAAAGGGCTGACCAGACCATCATACGCTCTGCTGTACAAGACCTCACAAACAGCTTCATACAGACCCACTCTGCCACCTCTGCTATTGTCAACATGTGGACGAACTTCACATCTGCGATCTCACAGATCCAAGAAACCACGGTCCCACCCAGGATGTCAACAACTAGGCACAACCAACCTTGGATCACAGCAAAGATCAAGCGCTTTTCTAGAAGACAGAAGAGAGCATTCAAGAAAGCCCAGAGCCCAGAGACAGCAGACGATATCAAGCGGTACAAAGACCTTCAAAAGGAGAAACACTATGAATGTCGGAAGGCAAACCAAGCTTATGTAAGAGACATGGTTACAGAAACCCTAAGAAGCTCTACACTTTCATCAAAGGAAAGCGGTCTGACAGCACGGGAATCTCTCCATTGAAATGTGATGGTGTGACCCACAGCGATGCAAGTAAGAAGGCTACAATATTGAACAAACAGTTCACTGGGGTGTTCACCACAGAAGACACAACAGACGATACCCAAACATGCCTCACTTCACAGTAGGAGCTTAGGGCGTCAAGAAACTTCTCCTCAGCCTCAACCCCCACAAGGCCTCTGGTCCTGACAACATACCGACACAATTCCTGAAGGACTATGCCGAAGACAGAAATTACTCCGGCTCTCACTCTCTTGTTCAACGCCTTTCTGCAACAAGGAACGTACCTTCAGCCTGGAAGAAGGCCAATGTATCACCTATCTTCAAAAAAGGTGACCGCAGCATACCCGCCAACTACAGACCCATCTCCCTCACATCAGTATGCAGCAAACTCCTAGAACACATCCTACATTGCCAAATTATGAAACACCTTGACCACCACAACACCCTGTCAAATCAACAACATAGATTTAGAAAACAACGCTCAACTGAAAGACAGCTTCTTCTCACTCTTCAAGACCTGTCATCAGCCTTGGAGCAAGGGGAACAAGTAGACGCCATACAACTAGACTTCAGTAAGGCGTTCGACGTTGTGCCTCACCAACGATTCCTTTCCAAGGTGGATCACCACGGCATTAGAGGAACAGTCAGAAGCTGGATCGAGAGCTTCCTGTCTGACCGCAGCCAACAGGGTGTCGTTGAAGCCTGTCTGCATCCTCCCCAGTCACATCCGGGGTACCCCAGGGAACAGTACTATGTCCTTTACTGTTCCTCCTTTACATCAACGACCTACCAAGGTACGTGATTACCACCAGCCGCCTATTTGCTGACGACAGCCTGAACTACAGGTAAATCAAATCAGAAGTTGACGCATTAGCCCTCCAAGAAGACCTTGATCGACTCCTGGAATGGGAACGCAAGTGGATGATGCCTTTCAATCCCAGCAAATGCGAAGTAATACACATCACCAAGAAAAGAAGCCCCATCATTTATGCCTACAAGGTCCACCAATCAACTCTTCAATCAGTCAAAAGTGGAAAGCACCTCGGTGTCAACATCGCAAATAATCTCTCATGGAACATACACACAGAATCTATATATACCATCAAGAAGGCCAACAACTCTCTATCATTCCTTAGAAGAAACATCACAAGCTGCCCACAAGACATCAAGGCCTAGGCCTACAAGACCCTTGTTAGACCAATCCTGGAGTACGCAGGCACAGTCTGGGACTTACACACAGCCACCAACATCAACCAGCTGGAAGCTGTGCAAAGGCGAGCAGCCCGATTTACAAGACTACCAGCAGCACCACTGCAATGATGGCAGACCTAGGCTGGCCAACTCTACAGCATCGCCGCTCCAATGCCAAGCTAGTGATCTAGCTAGTGAAGCTAGGATCACGCACAACCTCATAGCCATCCCAGCTGCACAGTACTTCCACCCCCTGACACTTGGTGGCCATGGCTACGGACACAGATTCCATGTCCCATTCTGCAGAACCGACACCATGAAGTTCTCCTTTGTACCTTTGGCCATCCGCCTGTGGAACCAGCTTCCAGAGCACCTAGCCACAGCAGTCAACCTTGAGGCCTTCAAGTGAGGACTAGTCATGGGGCCCTAATATAACGGAGTTGATTTTATTTTTTACATGTTCTTCTTTTAAATTTGCACTTATTCGCCGCACAACACTTTGTACATACACCCTGTACATAATATGTACAGTATTGGAAGAGGAAGAAGAAGAAATCCAGGTTATTGTATTTTGACAACTTATATTCTAATTTTAATTTTTTATTTATAAATGATCATTTATGATTTATAAACACAAAAAAGAGAAAACAATTCTTAAATATCATCTGAAAATAATAATTTATTTCAATAAAATATATTTTAGGGATTTTAGGGCCGATTACCTTGGGGCCGGGTTGACCAATTTCCGAACCGCATTCACAATTTTGTTTGCCGGACTGACTGAAATTCGTTTCGGTTTTTAAGAATATGTTGAATTTCATCTGGCACATATTATCATGGAGCTAAATATATAAGATTTTGCAAGATTTGATGCATCCTGGGTAAAAGAAGCCAAAATACCGCCATATTGCATTCCCGGAGTTCCGCCAACAAAAAAGACTAAACATTTTTTACTTATATAAGAAGCAATAGTTATTTATTCTAAAACGCTCAAAACACACTTTTCCACACAAAATTCTCCGATGAAAATCCATGTCGACGCAATAATTCACGGATATCGCCGAAGTTTAACGATAGCGTGGAAATCGGAGACCAGCGGGAAAGTCCGATTTTCACCGAAGCGCGCAAAGGATTGTGGGTCTGAATAGGACTCTCGTCTATTTTCGGAGTTTCCTATCCGTTGTTTATATATCTGTGATATTATTCAAGAAAATGTTGAAGACCCATTTTAAGAATGACATAAAATACTGGTTTGTGTAATGAGCTATCTAATGCCAAAGGTACTAGTGGCATTGATTTGACCTAAAACCTTGTTATTTATGCAATAAAATATCAATATATTAAAACAAAATAAAACCATTTTTTACTGTTATATTATTATAGTATTATATAGGCCTATTATCTATAATAATAAAACAGTAAAAAAAATTGATTTGACCTAAAACCTTGTTATTTATGCAATAAAATATCAATATATTAAAACAAAATAAAACATTTTTTACTGTTATATTATTATAGTATTATATATTATCTATAATAATAAAACAGTAAAAAAAAATAATTTTTTAATTTTTTTTCGGCGATATCCGTGAAAGTCTAATGCAAGGGTCGCATATTAAAAGTTAACGGGCTTTAAAGTAGATTACAACGATGAAATTAACATTCGATTTTGTTTTATGTAGAACACAATCATTGATGACGTACTGCGCATATGCATATCCTATCGATGTTTCATTCTTGAAATAAAAACAAAACAATTATTTAGTAAAAATGATTATTTCCTGAGAGTCATTTAGTCTTATACAAGGTATTTGTGTACGGTTTATCCATGTTATATCTGTTTGAGCAGTAAAAATTTTCTGAAAGCGTAAAAACGACTGAAAAATTAGGTGACACGGTCACTGAATTTTGCTTTGTTTTCTTCTTTTATTTTTTCAGGCGAGGAAGTAAAATATGCGTTTATTATTCATTTCTATCATTATTTTCTTCATTTCCTTATGTCAGACTTGGATTTCAGCAAATATGCTGAAAACAACACCAAATGTGAATATAACAGAATGAAATCCAAGAATTTTGTAGCATTATTTGGATGCTGAAAATCCTAGAAAGTAAACATATAATAATAGAGTGCTTAGATATTAATAGATAAATGTGCAAAATCCTAACAAATGTTATTAACAAATTAATATGAATAAGACAAAGGCTCAGAGCGAGCTCTTCGACATAAATTATAGAACATTTTAATTTAAACCCATCAACAGCTACACATTTTATGTTTTCAATACACTTTGAACTGCATACTTTTGGACTATATACGGCCATTTCATGTTTTATATGATTTCCATTTTAAAAGTGCCATCTGGTATTTTATACACTGCATCTGTTTATTCTGGTTCCATGTCCTATTATTGTTTACATAGAAGTGTGCAGCATAGGTTTTCAATCAGCATTCCTCTGCTTTTATACTAATCTTGTACTTTTTGTAGTCCGAAAAGTTGCGATTGACTTTAATAGATCATTACCCATAATTTTGCAGTACTTCCGGCGAAACGTTTTAAAAACCATCACTATCTTCAAGCTCGCTATAAGTTAAAACATATCTTAGTAAGTATGCATAATCTAAGCACTTATACCTGGAAATGGTTTCATTAAAAAAAGCATTGCGTTCTTCATTGGTTGCACTATAGAATAAGTAAAATGAGTGTACTTAATGTCTAACAAAACTTATGCTTGGCAGTATAGGCTATCTTCCAGGGCTTGAGCGATTTTGAAGTAGCCCAATTTTTTAATAATCTGTCATACTTATTTATGACGCTAGGTCTGTTAACAATTTGTTTACCTCTCAATTACAACCAATTCCACTAGTTAAGAACACGTGTCAACATCAACAAAGTCTAATACATGCCACAAGGCAAGAGTTCACTATGTGTATCTTTCTAAATGTGTATTCATATCAGATTGACAAATCTGAATGCGCGTTGTATGTACAGCAGTTTGCCTTGACCAATCGGTGACACACTAACATACTGCAGCTGTTTGTTGACAATTACACAAAATGGCGACAGATTCAATCAGTTTTCGCCGATTGCATGATAAAAGGCACAGGCATATACATAAATTGATAATTGTTGATAATTGTTGCAGTGTTTTGGCGAGTAAAGATAAACAATGCCCAACGTCTTAAAGGTGTGGTTATGTTCGAAAAATAGATTGTTAAAAACTTTCAGAGCACTAAGCTGTAGAAATTACATGAAGATTTGTATCTTATATTTTATTAATACATTGAACTCCGTAAAGTAAACATGCTGATTATACAAAATTAATTGTCTCTTACATTCTGGCTTGTGGGCAAATTGCTAAACGAAAATTATAGACGATGACCTGTCTGACTCATTGCCAATATGGCAAGTGGCACTGCTCTATCTGCCCTGAATATTGTTATCAACTAAACATACTCACTACATGTATACAGTATATGTAAATATTGTGTTTGCTTTTGGTATTGGTATACATTTCTGAAAAGAAGATTTATAGTAGAACTGTTTTATTTGAGAGGTGTTAAATATTTCTTTTCTGGTTTATTCCTAGCTTATAATTCTCCAGATGATGCATAATATGTCTCCCAACTTCTCCCTAAAGTCTCCTCACTTCTCCCTAAATCAGCTGGAGGGAGAAGTCACTTCTGCCTAAAATTTTGACCTAGCTCAAGCCCTGTCTTCTATGACTTTGTGTAGATAAAAAGTGTTTGTTTAATCCTTAGCCTGCTGAATTTCTGTAATGGACTGTTCCACCTTCCATTTTTGGAAGTATCCATTATCATTTTTATGGATATCAAGATAAGAACTTGAAGATGGTCAGCAGGCTCTACTGGTGGCAAAAGCAGGTCACTTTTGCCGCCAGCAGGCAAAGGGTTAAGTTGTAAAAGTTTGAATCGCATTATACATTCAGAAAGTGTAATGAATCATGAAATTTCAGATAAAAGAATAATAAATTGATAATAAATTATATTTTATGTTAACAAATACATATTGTTGATCAATGTGTCTTTTAATTTGTGGATTTTGTTTACACTTGGATTGTCTTGTAAAATCTCATCACACTTGCAGGACAGTGACATTAAATATTTCTTGCGAAGTGTATCTACTCTGAATCATGTATCAAACAGCTAGAAATTAAATTGAGATAGGCAGTTCATAATTTCTTTTCCAATAGGTATCCAAATAACATGATTTTACTTATGCCTAGCCCTAATATTATTATACAGTTTGGGTGTCAGGTAGACTTTAAAATTCCAGGGTCATATGAACCATCACATAAAATTTCCAAGAGTCAAACTTAGATTTGTAAGAGTCTAGCTTAGTTGGTTAGTAAGTTTTTGGCTCAAGAAAGTAAAATGTGAAACTGTAAAAATTTTAAATACGTGTTTGATGTATCTGATCAGTTACTAATGTGCAAGCTGCTGAATATAATTTGTACTAAATTAAAATAACCATTCAACATAGACTTTTATGTTGAGTTTGTTTTTCGAAATCAGTGATGTAAAAACTAAAATAGTCAGCCAAGTTTCTTGAACATAATATTATTGGAAAAATTACATAATACTATGATTTTCAGCAGAGATTAAAATGATTAAAATATTTGTTAATTTACTGTGTATTGATAAAAAAAAATTTACTTTGATTATCAATTCTCAGCCATGTGCTTATTGGGGTAAATGCTTGTTTTGTAAGTAGCCATGTGATCTTATCAATATGAATGTGGTTTAAAAACCCATCAACGAATTTAAAAGAAGTATGAATGAATGTATTTTAATTACTTAAATCTAAATTTGTCAAACTTGTTGAAAAGTATAAGTATATATATTTTCAGACTGAAAGCATTTCTAACTTACAAAGGTGACTGAATCAACAGTCAATATGAGTATGAAGCCAGGAAGTTCGGGGAAACAAGCTCGGGGGATAGGAGCACCATCGGCGCCCACATCTGTCACAGCGGCTGCCGTAGCTGCAGCAGGTTAGTCTTCACTATTAAATGTCAGTTTTGTAGCAAATTGTTTAGATAATTGAGCAATCCACCAGCATTGTTTAGGTATGATATATTATGGAACTCTTAAAACAGAAACTAATCTGCTGTGTTGAAACTCCTTATTTCCAAGTTGCTCAGGTGGATGATTTCAAATTACTTGCTCATACACTGGGTTCAAATCCTAAAACCCTGCAATTTCAGCTATTTTTTGGCATTATTACAATTATCCAGGTACATATAATAGGTTTGCTTTGTCAGCAATCCATTTCCTAAACTAAATTGATAATTTTGAAAATTTACTTCTTGTCAAAAAGTATAGTTTCCTTATCATGATAAAAATCAAAAGCAAAAAATTCAATGCAATAAAATGTTAACTCCCCATAAAAAAAAGAAGAAAAAAAGAAAGAAATAAAACTGAATAGATATCCTCTATATTTTACCATTGCCAGATTTGTAAGGCAATTTTATTTATTTTTTGTTATTTCAATCAGGTAATAAATGAAGTACACTTGGAAATAAACATGTTTTTTTTTTACATGAGAGGCTTGAGTTTTCTGGTATATTTTACTTTTATATTAAGACGATGATTAAACATTAAATTCAGATGATTAAGTGATATAGATGTAGGATGCTCCCCGAACACTCTGACATTTGGTCACAATAGTGGTTTGAGTTTCAGATAGAGCTCATATTTTTTGTTGCTGAGCACAAATTATTATTATTATTTTCAAATATTTTTAAGATATATCCTGACTCTTAATTTTAGCAGGCAAGCTTAGCTTCTAATAAGTTTTGAAGATAAGATTTAAAAAGCTGAAGGTAATATATTTATATGACCAAAGCAATAATTATTTATGATTATATTAAAACTGATAAAACAAAAATTAATCAAACTTTTTCTGAGTGCCCTTAGGTATATTTTGTTTATAATTATGGCCAACCATGATACAGTTACACCTTCACAGTACACACAAAAAAGCTAGTATAAGTGAACTCTACATGTATATCATTTAACATTGACTCTGCTCTCCCTGATTTTCAGATAAGTCCATTTAATTGTTTACATGAACAGGTTTTGTATTCTATTTCTAAATGAACCCATTTTTGTTGCATTAATAACTTCCTTGAAGATAATATCTTGTATTAAAAAAAAAAAAGAAAACCCACAAGGCTTTGATTTTTTTTTCAAAGAAGAATTCACAATTAGTACCAAACTGAAACAAGTATTTTTAATTGCTACATATATTGATATCCATGGGAACTTTGATATTTTACTTTCAATATTCTTATGCAATCATTATCAGATATATGTACAAAAGATATTTGAGCCGGGTCACAACAAAACCAACAAAGGCAACATAATGGTTTTCGACCAGCATGGATCCAGACCAGCCTGCACATCCGCGCAGGCTGGTCTGGATCCATGCTTGTCACAAACCCATTATGTTGGTTTTGTCGTGACGCGGCTCATTTATAAAGCCAAAGAGAAGGTGATTTAAAAAAGTAAGGTGAAGATGATTTAAAAAGAAATTATGCTAAGAGTAATTATTGTCAGTAAATATTTAACAGAAGTATGTTTTTATCAAAGATATAAGTATCAATAGATACAGTCTAAAATCTCAATGGTAGCATATTAAGTTTATTTTGATGTAGCAGAACAAAACTGTTATACATATATTTATTGAGGGTAGTGTGTACAAGCATCTGTGGTATACTGAGATATAAACAATGTTACAAAGTAATACACTATGTATGAGTCAAAATCACACAGTCTGTATGGCATTAAGTTACAACGTCTTTGTATTTATTTACCACTGCATCAAAATATTCTTGGAAATGTAATGAACTTTGCCTAAACACATAACATACGGAATTAAAAAAGGTAAGGCAGCTGGGTATTATTACATTTTGGATAAAATTTCCTAATTTACTGACATTTTTCTTCCAACTTTTTGGTGAGAGATTAGTTACCATATCAGTAATATTTGTAATTCTGTGAATATTATTGTTTGCTGTAAGCCTATAACTTAACTTCTATCACTTACTTTCATATGAAGTCCTATGAGAAATAGATTTAGCCCACCAGTATTGAGCTCTATATACAAGTCTGTACTTGTAACAAAACTATAATGCTTTATTGCTCTGTTCATAATTGTATATAATTATTCTTTGCATGGGCTAGATGCCTTAAAGTGAATAAAATGATATTTTTGTTACAACAAAACTATAAGTCTGTTAGCTTTTCATTTTCAATATTCTGGATTCACTTGAAGTAATGCTGGACAGATGTATTTTCACAAATTTTATACGATAAAGCTCTTGCATATTGTCTCTGTATTAATAGATGAATATTTTATGATACTCCATTGATATTAACATAGCTATGAATATTCTGTTTTGTTTTATTTCAGGGAATGCTACATCTAGTAACCAAGAACTAGCAAGTTATTTTGAGTGTCCAGTTTGTTTTGATTATGCTCTACCTCCAATAATGCAGTGTCAAAGTGGTCATATTGTATGCCAGAGCTGCCGACAGAAACTAACCATGTGTCCAACATGTAGAGGTCCTCTAGGTACTATATGGTTTTCTTGTGATTTATATAAGATATAATGCAAAGATATTGTTGTATACTAATATCTATATATAATCAATCCAATGGAATAAATGAGGATTCAACATGTCCCTCCAAGAAGTAAAAAAATATACTACAAATTAATGTCATAAATTATGAATTTCAGGCTGTAAGTGGCCTGTAAGTTATCCTTGTAAATAGACATAAATTTTATATTTGTAAATTTAAAAATAGATAAAACAGAATATCAGTAATTATTCTTTGTTAGGTTATGCTTAAATGTTTTTTTGTTACAGTACTAAATTGAAACTGTATCTCCAAAAAAAGAAAAACAAACAAATATATATTCCCGTAGGCCAAGGCTAAGAGGTACATGTATACCTTTGTGATTCTGTATTTATATATATTATCATGATTTATTTAATCCTCATAATCCTTTTCACCTGTCAATATAATGTTGTATGGTTTTTTCAGGTAATATAAGAAATTTAGCCATGGAGAAGGTGGCTGCAACAGTAAACTTTCCATGTAAATATGCCAATAATGGCTGTCAAACCACACTACTTCACTCAGAAAAACCAGAACATGAGGAAACTTGTGAATATAGGTATAGAAATAATGCTATATGTATAGGATTCATTTACTTTCATCTCTTGCCACTGAAAATATTTTAATATCTTGATGGAAACAGTGACATTTTTAACTTGAGAATTGTTTCCTGTCATTTCACTTTGTCATTTTGTATGTTCTTTTGTAAAGGATATTTTCTTTATTGCCTTATTTTAGTTTTTATAAATTTCATTGTACAGATTGTAGCATTTCAACCCCTTTTATGCTTGATTTTCTTTCTTTCTTTTTTTTTCGATAAAAAAGTTTATTGTGAACTGAAGACTAACAAATATATAAAAATGTGATACAAATATTACAATATTACTGTTTTGGCTTCACCCAACTATGATTTATTGTGATATTTTATATTGTGCTAAATCAATTATACAGTAAGATCTTGCAATATACACAAGTACAGTACAGTGTTATATATATTTCAGGCCATATTGTTGCCCATGTCCTGGGGCATCATGTAAATGGCAGGGAGGTTTAGAACAAGTGATGCCTCACCTCATGTCTTCACATAAAAGTATTACAACATTACAAGGTATATGTTATTTTGATTGATAGTTTATTTCACTCTCATCATTGTTGTCAAACTTCCATACGAGGTCATAGGAAATAGGTGATATTACCAAGATACGCACTGGAACCTGAAAAAAATGAACATGTAGAAAGTCTTAGAAAATTAAACTTAATTAACCTAATTTTTTTAATGTTGGAAAACTTGATTCATGTCTTTACTGCTCTATTTCCAAGACTTATAGCTCTGGAATGGATTTTGAATGTACTATAGTCTTTTGAGAACTTACTGTTGAAATGAAGATTTATATCTAATGCCACCTGTCTCTTTGTTAATCCTTAATAAAACATACTCTTGTTTTATTAGTTAACACTGAGAATAGTCAAGAGTGTTGTCCTCTCTCTAGTTGTTTTAGATTCTTTAATAGATCAATGAACAATGTTATTATATTATATGTATGTTATTTTCCCAGGAGAGGACATAGTGTTCCTTGCTACAGATATCAATCTACCAGGAGCAGTAGACTGGGTGATGATGCAGTCATGTTTTGGTCATAATTTTATGCTAGTCTTGGAGAAGCAGGAGAAAATGGAGGGACAACACATGTTCTATGCTATAGTACAACTAATAGGAACCAGAAAACAGGCTGAAAATTTTGCCTATAGGTATTTCTTTGTCTATACATACACATGGTTGAATATTTTAAAGATATATCGTTACAAGTTTAATTCAAAGCTTTTGAAAACCTGTGTTTAAAGCTATAAATCTGATGACTGTACTTAACAAAATCATTGTTTGATTTTTTTTAAAGAAGAATAGTATGAAAGAAAAATGTTTGTATATTTCCTTAGTTGTTAAAATCATACTTAAAATAGTCGAATAATATTTTGTCCATAATATATATTTTATTCTAATTAATATTAATGTATTTTAAATAACAGAGACATTCTATGTTACAACTCTTTCAAAAATCTAATGTAGGATAATTGAAACAATGTAATTTTATTGTTAATAAGTTTTAATAAGTCTTATTTCATGAGAAACCTTTTAAATGGATAGATTTGGGGCCTTTGTCTTTACCTAGTCTGTCTGTGGATAACGTTAACCTTTGTTGAAACAATTTTATTTGAACCTTCAAATATTAGTATTTTAAAAATTGAACTGCAACTGTTACTTCTTAATAGATTAGTAAGATATAGAACAACGATTTCTGAATTATTTTGAGAGAGTTCAAAGGAACATATATCCTGTTGTGGAACTATATAATTTTTACAAGTTTTGTTGGTTTTATATGTGTTTTCACATCAAAAGTTTTATCAATTTTCAGATTGGAATTAAATGGTCACAGGCGTCGACTTACATGGGAGGCAACGCCACGCAGTATACATGATGGTGTGCAGTCAGCTATAAGTGCCAGTGACTGTCTTGTGTTTGACACTAATATAGCGCAATTATTCGCTGACCACGGGAACTTAGGAATAAATGTTACAATATCTATGTGCTAAATTTCATCTGCAGTGTTACATGCTTAATTTGTTAATTGTTGATTTTTTTCTTTGAAGAACAACAGCACAAAGATTTTCAACTAAGCATTTATTTTATATAATGAATGATATATCTAACTTCTAAGAATCAGTTGGTGTCCAACAGTTGGAGTTGAATCTTCAAGCCTGGTATTTTACACTTATTTTAGAAAATAGTTTAGATTGTCTGTGTATTTATCTTACAAACTTGGTGATGTTCTACCATCATTTGAAGTAAATGCTCAGAAATACAAGAGGAAAATATAACTGATGGAAGGATAACATTTAAATAAAAAATTCCAAAATACATTAGGAATACATACTGTTTGTATGCCATGAAAATATAATAGTGGTATGCCAGATATTCACCAGGAACACACATTGATGGTATTCCAGAAATACAACTGTCTTGGAACACTCTGGTGGTATGCCAGAAATACACCTGTCCTACAACACTCTGGTGGTATGCCAGAAATACACCAGGAACTAACATTGATGGTATGCCAGAAATATACCAGGAACTTACATTGATTGTGTGCTAGAAATATACCAGGAACACACACAATGATTCTAGAAAACAAACCTGGAAGGGTGATAAGTAAAGATTGCTGCATTATTTATATATTACAATGTTATCAGTGGACTTCAAGTATTGAATCTTTTATTACAGATTTTAAGATGATATATGTCAGGATAGTATGAATTGTGTACAAGAAGAAAAGAAAATGCCTAGTATGGTGAAATATTCTCTATATGAGAAATTAACAAAAGAGTTCAGCTGACATTGTGATAAAATGATGAAATGTTTATGTTGACAATGATATGACATAATGTTATGGATAATATGTTCTAGATGATATGATGAAAGATATTATTATTGCATGATGATATGATAAAAGATGTAGAATAACATGATGCTTTAGAAAAAGTAGGACAACAAATTAACATGATCAAGGTTATAAATTGGTTTTGGTTAAATTTTACAAACTGATGTGATTTCATTAAAAAAATTGCCATAACATGACAATATGTTAAGAAAAAGTTAGTTAACATTATGCTACTAATATTTAGGGTAACATGAAGGCATAATTAAAGGTTTAAGTCGAATTTTTTAATGGAGAAAAGTTTTGAGATAAAATGAAATAACGCATTTTTAACTTGACTATTCAAAGATTAGGGAAAGCTATTGTACTTGTGCAGGCGTCAGCATTACACTTTGGTACATGTACCTATAATACTAGTGAAAGGAATGGGTTAAAAGTAAAGACGCTTGTTTGAGAGCATATAAGGAGGTTGCTTGCAAAGGTCCATAACTCAAACATGGATTTTGACAGGATTATGGCCCTTTCTTAACTTTTAGAATTCTACATTATCCAGGCTTTTATATTACTGTCAAGTATTGAGAGTAGTCAAGCATGCTGTGCTTCCAACAGCTCTTGTTTTCCTTGACATAGTCAACAGATTAATTTACAATTGTAAAATGATTTTGTTATTAAGCAAGAAGCAGTAACATTGTAGCTTTTTTAATTTTTTTTTTTGTATAAAAGTATGAACTTTTTGAATAGTATAATTGCAAAAATTAATGAAAACCTGTTATTGTTCACAAAAATACATCAAATTACTGTTGAAATTGTGATATAAATGTGGAGTGTCATTTATTTTGGGTATTACACTTTTACATTCTGTATTTTGACATTCTGTGGGAGATATGTTATATATGTGTGTCCTTATGTCTGTACCTTGTCTATCAATTTGTTTCTTTGTGTTGCTTTAACCAGTGATTAAATGATTACATGTAAACACAGAACCAAACCACATTCTTAGAACCAGTCTCTATAACTCTGCAATCCCATTGGTCTAAATCAAGTTTGAATTCAAAATTTAACCAATAATTTTTCATATGCTGTTACTAAATATGATTATTGAGAACAATTGGAATTTTAGAATTTGATTGCATAGTGAAATGCTGACAGAAATGTTTAGGGGATAGAAAATATGTAGTATCATCTTAGATACTGTATGCATTTAATTTCTAACATAGTTTTAAAGGATTAAAATTGTTTATGTTAATTATTTCCATTTGGTTTTATTTAAGTCTTTTACTTGGTAAGTCCTTAGTGGACTGGCATTAAAAGCACAGGAACTCGGCACAGTGGTTACACTATCCCAGCACTGTGCCGAGTCCCTTTGATTAAAAGAGTTACCGGTAACTGAAATATAAATAGTATCAAACTTTGCATTGATAATTTTATGTGACAAAAATAATCACCATTTATGTTACAACCTCATCCATGTACTTTCTTCCCCATGAAATATAGTCTTGGGGTATTGAATTTTTCTACAATATTTTTTCAGTGTGTTATTTTGTATATATGTATATCATATATAAAACTTTAAAGAATTGTAATATAACTTGGCAATTGTATATTTACCTGTTGTAACTATGCATTTATCTTGATATATATACATAAGACTATTATCTTGGATATTTGTTTTGTTTTGAGTGAGTTATATGGATTATATTTCACTGATAAGTGATAATCAGGAAAATTGAAATATTATCACATATGTGTTAAACATTCATCAATAATAGTTTTGAGAGTTTGAGATTAGTTATATTTTATTTTCATGAAAAAATAGCATTTGCTCATTTACATTCAGTGATCTACAGTGAGTGATATAAGTAATATAGAACTTATGATCACCATTTCATTTAATAGCTCTTTTCAGTTATCATATATACATGTATTGCACACGTATAATTTTTAAATGTCATTCTACTTTCAAATAATGAATAGATTGTATTATCATGTGGATAATTAATAATTATTATACTTTAGTCCATATTTTTTGCAACTTTAACAAGAAAGAGCCACGTCATGACAAAACCAACATAATGGGTTTGCGACCAGCATGGATCCAGACCAGCCTGCGCATCCGCGCAGTCTGATCAGGATCCATGCTGTTCGCTATCAGTTACTCTATTTGTAATAGGGTTTGTAAGCGAACAGCATGGATCCTGATCAGACTGCGCGGATGCGCAGGTTGGTCTGGATCCATGCTGGTCACAAACCCATTTATGATTATGTTGGTTTTGTCGTGACATGGCTCAAATTATTTACAACTGATTGTCCAACTCTTTAATTCATAGAAGATAAGTTGTTATAGTGCTTACTACATTTTAAATAGAAATTAAATGATATATCTCTACTAAAACATCCTCATCTCACAGTAACTATATAGTGTCCTTACAGCCAGCAGTATCATGCCTGGTCACACTGTGTGAATATGCAAGCTGGCCTGAGTCTATAGTGGTAGTAAAGGCTGTTAACTATTGGTTCACTTAGTAACCAGGTGTTATTGGGGTAACCAGAAGTTACCTGTACATGTATCTGTAGCTGTGAGAAAGTTATTTAGATAATCAAGTTACTTTTCCTTAGCGGTTTTGTTTATCAATAAACACGTGTATTATAAAGTTTTATGTATAATAGGAGTTGTTTGGAAGATTTTGTGTAAACATGGTTTTCAGATGTGCTCTTTGTTTTAACATGTTCAAATGTGCTGTATTTGTTTTCAAACTTTGACTTTTTTTCCAGCTTTTCCTGGAAATACTGTTATGAATATGAGTAAAAATAAAGTGTGGGGAAAACTACATGTTATAAGTATTGTAAATGTTTTACAAGGCTGGACACTTTGTTGTCAGCTGTTCATGATTGTTAATCGTATTTGTTTTTAAATCATTTTTAGCTCGACTTTTCTATGAAAAGGGGAGCTATCCTACTCGCCCCGGCGTCGGCGTCGGCGTCGGCGTTAGCGTTAGCGTTGGCGTCACACCTTGGTTAAGTTTTTCGTACCACCCCACTTTATTTCAGAAGTATTACAAGTATGGCTTTGAAACTTACCATACTTGTTCACCATCATAACCTCCATCTACAGACAAGAGTACATAACTCTGTCAAGGTTTTTGACAGAATTATGGCCCTTTTTTGACTTAGAAAGTGTATTTGAGCTTGGTTAAGTTTTTTGTACCACCTCACTTTATTTCAAAACCATTGGAGGTATTGCTTTGAAACTGACCATACTTGTTTACCATCACGACCTTCATCAACAGACAAGAGGACATAACTCTGTCAAGGTTTTTGACAGAATTATGCCCCTTTTTGACTTAGAAAATACATTGAATATGGGTAAAATCCACTTATTGCCTTAACCCTTTGAGATATTGCTTTGAAACTTTTAATGCTATTTCACATCATTACCCCATCTGTACGCAAGAGAAGGTAACTCTGTCAAGGATTTGTTTTAAAAATTAAGGCCTTTTATCGACTTAGAATCTTGGTTAAGTTTTTTGTACCACCTCACTTTATTTCAAAACCATTGGAGGTATTGCTTTGAAACTGACCATACTTGTTTACCATCACGACCTTCATCAACAGACAAGAGGACATAACTCTGTCAAGGTTTTTGACAGAATTATGCCCTTTTTGACTTAGAAAATACATTGAATATGGGTAAAATCCACTTATTGCCTTAACCCTTTGAGATATTGCTTTGAAACTTTTAATGCTATTTCACATCATTACCCCCATCTGTACGCAAGAGAAGGTAACTCTGTCAAGGATTTGTTTTAAAAATTAAGGCCTTTTATCGACTTAGAATCTTGGTTAAGTTTTTAGTACCAGTCCACTTTTTGACTGAACTGTTTGAGATATTAATTTGAAAGTTGGAATACTTGTTTACAATCATGATTCCCAAACATGTCCAGGAGAAGGTAATTCTGTCAAAGATTTTATTTGAATTATGGCCCTTAACTGTCAATGTTTTGTATTATAGGCAAGCACTAAAAAAGTCGAGCGCGCTGTCTTACGGACAGCTCTTGTTAACCAGGTTTTCAAATGTGAAAATCTGGTCATTAGATTGGTAAATGTTGGCTGGCAGGAAGCTCGGTGGACATAAACAATTTCTTCATAAAGTGCTTGATATCAATTATCAGGGCTTTTGAATTTGATCTTTTTTGCAGAGTAATGGCCCTTTTTGTACTTCCATTCTAGTATCAAAATCCATGAAATTGAAAACTACATAGTAGGATTAGGCGACCATACAAATTCAATAGGGTAAGGGTTAAACTGATATTAAAGCTTTTAATAAGCCCCTTTTAGAGGCCACTGACCACCAATATTAGATTAGATCGCCATCAAACTTTTACAGTAGTATTTTACAAAGTGTAAATTATCAGGGCTTTTCAATTGGATCTTATTTTAGCAGAGTAATGGCCCTTTTTAACATACTTAAGAATTAATTGCAAACCTGAGTTGTTTTTTTTCGTGACCATTTCACTTGTTTAATGATATGGAGTTTTTGTATTGACCCTGTAAACCATGGTATCAAATAAGTTGTAATCTCTATTTGTGTGTTCTTTAGAAAGACAGGGAAACTGTTTAAAAACATTAGTAGTTTCTTTTAACACCCTAAAAACAACAATGGTAAGGTGTTTTTATGGGTTAAATATGCTGTGGAACTTCCAAGGTCCCCTGGATACCTAACCAAGGTTTTGACTGGGACCCAGTGGGTTTACCCCCAGCTATATAAGTTATTATTCCTTCCTTTTTGTCCTTCCCAAGTCACACCCCTGATGATTACTATCAACATTTAACTTTTAAACATTTACCATGGTGTCTGTGATGGGAGACCTGCAGACTGCTTCAGAGAGAGTTGTTATTGTATGACTGAGGTAAACACATGACTCTATAGCAGAATCTCTGTTAAGTTACACCAACAGACTGAAGTATTGTGGTCATCTATTTGCAGTGCTGTGAGGTGTATTTATACCATTCTAGCTGGGGCAAATGAAGAAAAAATATCCTATTGAAGCTGCAAATGCCTACCTATTAATTATACATGTATTTTGACCTACTTCTTGAAATAGCACTTGTCAGCTTGTAATAATAAAAAAGTTGGCAGCGGTTTTTTTGTGCAATTGGAAACAAACTTTGAAATATAAAGTTAAACAAAGTAAACAAACACAGTAAATTAAAAACAAGATGTCCTGTCAGTGTTTTTTCTTTTATTCCTTTTCTGTGACAAATTTGTAGGAAAGCAGATTAACAAATGGTTTACAAAGGATCATTATTTTGAATTGCTGTTTAAACTATTGTTGTTTCTGTATATATACATATGTAACTATAATCAGGGACAGTATTGTATATATTGTTAGCCCCTGACTAAAATCAAAGTTTTCACAGAGAAAATAACTGTCTGTATAGTGTGTACTGTTATCATTCTGAAACTTCTTTTGTAGAAATATTTGATGTAAATTTACTTAATATATATAAACATTGAACATAAATCTAGAAGTGTCTCTTTTTCTATTTTTACATACTTAAGGGTTAAGGCGTTAGAATCGCGTCCACTCTGTATCCCTGGGTAAGAGGCGACTTAATGGGTTCAAATTATTGAAATCTATGCATCTATAAGCTCCAGCAGAAAAGCTGGTTTTGACCCATGGCGCTGCTTTGAAGTTTGTAACATCCAACATTTGCTGAAATCATCCTTCCTGTTTTGGCACCACATGATTTTAAACTGATTGATTTATTGTGTAATTCGTATATAATTCATTGATATGAATATTTTTATGTTTATTATATATTGTACAGTACAAATGTAAATGAATATTTTCAGAGAATCATTTATCAACGCTTATCAAGGAAATAAAAGTGGAAGGCGCATACCCAAGTTCCCTAACACTGGGCATGAGAAAAAAGATAGTTATCAGTCTGGTCTATAAACCATAGGGAGGTTTTGTTTGCTGGACTGGTGGGGCTTTTGTCCTACCTGTATTTTTTGATGGGGGGGGGGGGGCTTTTGTCCTATGTGTAAATTTCATGGGGGGGGGGGAGGGGGGGCTTTTGTCCACCTTGTCATTTTTTAGAAGGGGGGGGGGGCTTTCGTCTAGGGTTGCTTTTTGTCCTACACTCAGTGATTGAAAGACAATAACGAGATGCTGATCTTAGAATTGGAGGGGGGTGGGGGGAAGAGGGAGGCAGCAGATTTAAAATGAAAACATATTTTTGAAATTATGAGCGTTATAAATATTAATCCATTTATGTCAGCATAATTTGTGCATTATATTCTTGATACTAAAAATATCATTTTAATGCTTATCCCTGAATTAATAACAGATCCCCTTGCGGGCGCCGCCATCTTGAATTATATGTTTTGTAAATAGAGAAATGCAGCGTGTTTATTGTTGATTTCCTTGTTTGACATTTTCTAGGTAATATGTAATTTAAAATAATAAAATATGGACGTCAAAGTTCAAGTACAAAAATGTCTCGATCAATTGTCTTCGGAGGCAAGAGGTAATATAAAATTATTTATACGGTGATTCTGTTTATAATACCTCTGCAGTTTAGTCCCACTCAATTTTTATTGTATCTTTGGAACTCATTATTAATAGAATAAAATATGACCGTAAGAGCATATATGCTCCAAATGAACGATATTTAAGACATTTTTATTGGGTATAAAATTTGCATATTCTGTTTCTTTTCTTCCTTTCTTTTCTTTCTTTCTTAGAGGCACAATAAAAAAAAACATATTTCAATTGTTTTTATTTGTTTTGTTTTTTTAATGCCAAACGCTTTATACATCAGTGTTACATATAATTTGTAATATAAATCCGTGTTAGAGGCTAGAGCACATGTCTAGAGTCCTATAAAGCATTAAAAAAACAAAACAAATAAAAACAATTGAAAAATGTTTTTTATTGTGCAAAAAAATTAGTTTATAAACATTTTGTGCTGAGTATGTATACTGTTCATGTAAACAGTTATCTTGACGTCACAGAAACGTCGTATGACAGCCCCAACCCTGTCGTAAAGCTGCGACATTTTCTACGACGTTTATAATCACACACCCGTGCCGATTTTGCGACTCCGTAAATATGGTATTGCACGGCCATGCATATATTTTGACGTGACGTCATTAGCATTATACAAACATAGTGTAAAGAGGCGCCAAACTGTAGCGTTATACTATAGACACGTCAATGTAAAAATGACTCTTATTTCACTTTAAACGGTCTTTATTTTGGGTATGTGATAAATAGAATATTAAATTTGTGTAAGTTTATTACTGAATTTATTGCACTCGTTGAATAAAATAATAGTATTATTGAATATAATTTTATTCAACTCTTGCAATAAATTCAGTATTGAACTTACACTCATTCAATATCCTCTATGTATGCCATGACAAACTTTAATAAAACGGTCCATACCGGTCTGCGGCCATAACGGTCTACGATGTGTCATGAAGCATTGATAAAATGGCCCCCAGGTTCAGTAATTATTAAAGATAAGATTAGAATTTTTTATTCAAACTTGATTGATGGCCATAACTGTACAAGCGTTGTGCAGTCAACAATTATAATCATGTAAATAATATACATTAAAAAAAATAATTTTGATGAGTTAACAGAGATTTGGAAAGTGTGAAATGACATTTTTACTGACGTGTTTCCTTTTTATATTATAACTGTCAAACCATTTCAGTTGAGATTGGAAAAAGACATTATATAATTATATTCAGCATTTTTTGCGAGTGTAATTAGTTTGACTAAGGTGACAAGCATCTAACATGTTATAAATTCAGTATTAAAACATTTTATAAATCACATTTTATAACATCAGTATTAATACAATATACATGTATATAGATCACACTTTTGCCCTTTCTAAAGAAAACAACACATATAGATTTTCAAAGCGTTATATGCCTTTATGCTCTCTTATTTTAATAATTCATAAAATATGAATTACATGTATGATATCTTTTTATCTTTGTCATTTGTTTGCTTTTAGAGTTGTATATAGACAGTACTGTGACAGAAATTGATGAAGCACCAAGTCCACTACAGTTTTACAGAGATTTTGTTGCAGCAAATAAACCAGTTTTGATAAAAAATGCTATAGATCACTGGCCAGCATTGAAGAAATGGACCCCAGATTATCTAAGGTATACCATTAGTATGGTGTATCATTACTGTCCAATTTAGTTCACATGTATATACATATACACATAGTGGTATGTATGAAATGGTGTTCTCCTGACATTTCTTTATAAGAAATTAAAATCAGTACTGGCAATGTTGGGATGAAAAATGAAACAAAAGAAACCACCATTGGTAATGCCATAAATTTCAGATTGTGTGTTGAGTATTTTCTTCACAAAGTATGTTAAATGGTAGTTCTGACAAACTCTTAAATTAAATATGCAAATGGTGTATAACTTTTACTGGTAAAGTATACTCTAAAACATTTATAATTTGTGCAGTCACTAACTGTTTATTTAATATTCTGTATTATATTTGAGCCATTAAAAAAATGAGCATGCATTTGAACAATATGAAGAACATATTCCAGTGCTATTTCTGTTGGAATTAGCTATGATTTTGTATCATCAACACAGTGCCACATTTTTTATCACATTCGTATAACATTCACAAAGTATAGTAAAAAAATCTGCTGACAGACAGCCCAAATAAAGCTTTATAATACACAAATTAAGAATGGTTAATTGAATAGTACATGTACTTTGATACATCTAGATAAATTATTTTCTGTAAATATACATGTATTTTGTCGAGATTGCAAAGCTCCCTATGACATGAGTTTTGATTTAGAAATGATATAAATGTCCTATGTTATAACAGAGAGAAAATAGGAGATCAGGAAGTGACAGTGGCAGTTACACCCAATGGTTATGCTGATGCAGTTACTGACGGCAAGTTTGTCATGCCTGAAGAGAGAATGATGAAACTGTCACAGTTTCTGGACATACTAGATAAACCAGAATCTGATAATGGGGTGTTCTATGTACAGAAACAGAACTCGAATCTTACTGATGAGTTTGTCTCTGTGATGGACGATGTGGAACCAGAAATAAAATGGGGGTCTGATGCATTTGGTATGTAACTACATTGTGAAAGCTTTTGTCAAAACTTTGTTATGTTGAGCTTGTATTAATTTTACAGGTATTCAGAAAAAGGAATTTCACACTACAGAAACTACTTTATAAGGGAAATGGGAATGAAAAAAGTTTTTTCTTGCGCCAACTATAAATTATTTTGAGCAATTTATGAATAATATGTATGATAAATTAATTGATACCAAAATATGCATGTCAGTAGTATTGTGTATTGATTTAGTAATGTATATTTAAAGTCGATTCCAGACAAATTGAAAGAAAACAAAAATTAACTGTGTTATATCATTCTGCCTAAACACATTTCTATGACATGTAAAAAAGTCTAATGATAATATTTAGCCACTAGAAATGTGTCTATGGACATCAATCCCCCCACATTTCATTGTATTGTCAGTCTAATTAGGGCAGCAGGATGGACAGACAAGGACAAATCTGTATGCTGCCCCTTATTAGTCCCAAATCTTTTTGTTTCAATAAAATATTGAAGAGAAAAACCTTCATGTTGTAAATTGCACTTTGATGACATTGAATTAACATACATGTATATGACACATTGATAAATACAATCATTTTAAATGAATTATTTGAAAGGTAAAGCTCCAGATGCTGTCAACTTTTGGATGGGAGATAAAAGAGCTGTAACCTCTAGTAAGTTATAAATATTTCTTTTGTTGTGTATAAGATTTAATGAGTACACATACCTTTACTTTGTTTTGATAACTGATGTATACTATTGTCTCTGTTGAACAAATTTGACTCAGTTGTGCAAGGATTACTGTACAATGTAAAACTTTATGTTGACGTCACTATGTTTGCTATGATAGAGATTACATTGTCCTATTTTTAAATATGACATGCTTTGAGACAGTTACCTTCTGCCAGGGCAAAGCTGTAAAATAACATTTAGGCTACAGGTAACTCTGCTATGTACAGATTACTGACATGTACAGATCACTATGCTATGTACAGATTACTCTGCTATGCACAGGTTTCAGTGCTATGTACAAATTACTCTACTATGTACTGATTACTCTGCTGTGTACAGATTACTATGCTGTATATGGATTACTTACATGTACAGATTACAGTAAACTTCACATATAGCGAACACGGTTATAGCGAACTTCCGGTTATAAGGAACAAAATTTTTTGGCCCGAATTTTACCCTTCTTTATTTAATGTAAAAAATAACGGTTACAGCGAACACGGTTATAAGGAACTATCGCTTATAAGGAACTCATTTTTTAGTCCCAATGCCATAAAAAGTACAGAAAATTACACTTTTATAACGAACTCCAAAATATCGTCTATCCGTAAACAGATCATGCATTTTCTACTTTCGTTTTCATCGGCACAGATTAAAACTTGTAGCGGATATATATATGACGACGAGAGTCAATCATCCGAAAACGAGATCTATTTAGATGATCTGCCGGTTGTGTCAAAAAAATGAAGCTATTGATTAGATTAGGTCATACTTCGAGTCTAATGCACATGTTGAAGAAACAGTTTTTAAAATTTTATTGGATATTGAATTTAACCTTAAGAGTTGTAAACATTCCCAAACTAAAATTAGCGACTTCTTCAAAGCAAAGTGATTATTTTTATGCATGATACTGTATTGTTAATAAATAACAAAATTGCATATATGGTACATATCATATAATTATCTTATAGATATATTTATACATAAAAATTATATTAAAAAGAAACAACATGGCAATTATTCCTTTTTTTTCTTTATTGAATCAATATAAGGGAGACAACAATGACGAACCAAAAAGTTATTTCTCTTAAAAAAAATGTTCTTCAAAATGGAGGACGATGGTTAACAATTAGTTCGTTACATGTAAAACTGTTCGCTATAAAAACTTCTGATACAAGGAACTAATTCGCTATATGCTTACAAGGAACTCCGGATATAAGGAACAGATTTTGAATGTCCCAATGATTTCGTTATAAGCAGAGTTTACTGTACTATGCTATGTTCAGATTACTGTGCTATGCACAGGTTACAGTGCTATGTACAGATTACTCTACTATATACTGATTACTCTGCTGTATACAGATTACTATGCTATGCACATATTACCATGCTGTATACAGATTACTGACATGTTCAGATTACTGTGCTATGCACATGTTACAGAGCTTTGTACAGATTACTCTACTATATACTGATTACTCTGCTTTATACAGATTATATGCTGTATACAGATTACTCTGCAATGTACAGATTTCTCTGCTGTATACAGATTACTCTGTTAAAAGTACAGATTACTCTGCTATGAACAGATTACTGTGCTATGTACAAATTACAATGGCATTTACAGATTACTCTGATATGTTCATATATTTCTGCTATTACATATTACTTGCTATATACAGATTACTCTGCCTTGTAAAGGGTACTCTGCTATGTACAGATTACTGTTCTGTAAACATATTTACTATGCTATGTTCAGGATACTCTTCTATGTACAGATTACTATACTATGTTTCGGATACTCTGCTGTTTTCAGATTACAGTGCTATGTTCAGGATACTCTGCTATGTATAGAAATATTGTATATCTATTTGTAAATACAGTCAACCCCTCTCAAGAGTGTTATATGCAGATTCATAGTCATCATCTATTAAAGTATTTATTACCTTAGTTTTTTTTATAGAAAAAATATGTTCAGATATTTTATATTATAATGCAACATGATGTTATATTTTTTTGTTATTTCTGTTTTCAGTGCATAGGGATCACTATGAAAATCTATACTGTGTTGTTAGAGGTTGGAAAAAGTTCTTGCTAATTCCACCAACAGATTTACCTTCAGTTCCATATGGTTAGTACATCTAAATATTACTCCCAGACAATCATAACATTTTAAAAGAGTTAAAATGAGGATGAAAATTGCTAAAAAGTTAATACCACAAATGATTTATTTTTTTTATCCAAGCAACTAGCTTGTATTTTACGCACTGTTAAAATGTATGTTAATATATTTATAACTTGGATTCTTATTACAACTTTATGTTATCATAGATATACAAAAGATTATAATGCAAAGATACATTCTTTAGAGAAATACTGGTGCCAAATTAACATCATTGTTTATCCATGTGACATTCTATCAATGTATAAAGCAAAAAACAGTGTACAGTATAAATACTAGAGGTTGAGTAAATTAAACTCACCTTTACTTGTTTTATCATAAAAATATATGTGTTAACTTTCTACATGTATATGTAAATAAAAATTTAGACTTGGGTTGGACTTGCTGATATTTTAATGTTTTAGTTTGTAATTGATATACAAGGCATGTTTGAAAAGTATTCTGATTTTTTTTGTTATTTGTGTCTGTTTTTTCCTTAGAGTAGTTTTTTCAAAGTAATTATAACAAAACATACAAATTCTATTTTTAGAATTGTTCCCAGCGGCTGTATTTCGAGAGAATGATAAAGGGCAGTTCACGATTGTAGATGATGAAAAAACTGGACAGGTATGGTAAAATTTACAAAGTCCATATCTATCATGTAATTTTTCAATACTTTTTCATAACCAAGTTTTTAAAATCACTGATTTTATATCATTCTGATCCAATCACCAATACCCAGGTGCCTGCCCTTACTTGTTAAAATCAAAGACATGTATCTGCAAAATAACCTTGAAACTCAAGCGAGATATTACAGTGTGCACTTGTTGCCCATAATAGTTCAAGTCTTTTTTCTAACTTAGTGTTAGAATTTAGATGAGTGCCTTAAATTGAGCAGCAAACTGAATACCTTGTTACAATAGTTTCATTTCAATATAGTTTAATGTAAAATTACAATGTCACAAATTATGTTTATGTTTTAAATTATTTTTAACATATTTCTTGGTATTTTTTATTAGTTTTGGTTTTGGTTATGCTACATGCACCTAGGTTGATTATATAACTAAGTATCACATATTAAAAAGCTACTTGAAATTTTGTATACATATATACAGGTACCATGGGTAGCCATTGATCCTTTAAATCCAGACTACAACAAGTTTCCTCAGTACAGGAATGCCAAACCTATTGAGGTAACAGTCCATGCTGGTCAGATGCTGTACTTACCTTCACTGTGGTTCCACCATGTACAACAGTCACATGGTTGCATTGCTGGTAAGTTTACCTCACTGTGGTTCCATCATGTTCAACAGTCGCATGGCTGCATTGCTGGTAAGTTTTCATCACTGTGGTTCCACCATGTACAACAGTCACATGGCAGCATAGCTGGAAAGTTCACTTCACTGTGGTTTCACTGTGTACAACAGTCACATGGCTGCATTGCTGGTAAGTTTACTTCACTGTGGTTCCATCATGTACAACAGTCACATGGCTGGTAAGTTTACTTCACTGTGGTTCCACTATGTACAACAGTCACATGGCTGCATTGCTGGTAAGTTTTCATCACTGTGGTTCCACCATGTACAACAGTCACATGGCTGCATTGCTGGTAAGTTTACTTCACTGTGGTTCCATCATGTACAACAGTCACATGGCTGGTAAGTTTACTTCACTGTGGTTCCATCATGTACAACAGTCACATGGCTGGTAAGTTTACTTCACTGTGGTTTCACTATGTACAAGTCACATGGCTGCATTGCTGGTAAGTTTTCATCACTGTGGTTCCACCATGTACAACAGTCACATGGCTGCGTTGCTAGTAAGTTTACTTCACTGTGGTTCCACCATGTACAACAGTCATATGGCTGCATTGCTGGTAAGTTATATCCTTTACCTACTTTTCTGTGGTTCCACCATGTACAACAGTCAAATGGCTGCATTGCTGGTAAATTTACGTCACTATGGTTCCACCATGTACAACAGTCACATGGCTGCATCGCTGGTAAGTTAACTTCACTGTGGTTCCACCATGTACAACAGTAACATGGCTGCATTGCTGGTAAGTTATATTCTTTGATAATGGTATGCATTTAAACTGTTTGTACAGTAAGCCAGTAACTAGCCATCTGGACTTATCTATCTTTCAATTTGGACAATGTCATTAATCACTTTCAGGGATTATTTCAAAATATGTAGTGACTGGAAAGCAGACAGTGTAGACCATGATCAGACTACTGATGTGCCAGCTGATCTTGGCCTGCACTGGTTGCACATATTTGAATAAGTAACTACTAGCAGGCTCAAGGTTTATATCATTTATTACTGAATTTAAGTATTTGTATTCAATTTACTAATTTGATTGTCCCAAATTCTAAGCAGGGCAAGTGTTTTAAGACTAAATCAGACTGTCATAATGGTTTTTAAATTAATTTTTGTTTGTTTTTCTTTTCAGTGAATTATTGGTATGACATGGAATTTGATATTAAATACAATTACTACAAGTGTATAGAAAGTCTTGTGGATATTGTGAAGTGAACTCTGGTGAATCTGTCAAGTTGAAATGACATACAGAAAGCCGCAATGACAAAACTGCAGGATGTGAGCATCCAATACTTCCAAGAATGCTCTGCTGTTACTTCTCAGAATGCTCCACTGATTCTTCCTGCTTACATTAGATATGCAGTAAAAATCGCCGACAGGGTCCAATGATTGAGCGCTTAAATACTATGTGAATAAAATCAGACACAATGGGAAAAAACATTGTTTCATTTGACAAGATGTAATGTTAAAATGAAATAAGCACTTTGACAAATAAAATGCAAGTAGAGTAAATTTTGAGGCTTTATATTTTATTTTGTTTAGTGTTTTATATGATAAGCATTACAGTGGTAGCTAAGATAGCGACTAGTAAAAAGCCGCTGTTATACTTCCTGCACAACTTCCATTATTTTAGTATCAAAATTCCTGAAATTGAGACAAAGGTTGTTACAACTAGAAATGTGTCCATAGGACACGGATGCCCCCACACGCCACTGTTCTGTCAATCTTATGACTCTAGGTCAAATATTGTTTGGACTACATGTGCCACAAGTTGAAAACTAAAAATCAACAAAGGGCCATAATTCTGTTAAATTTGGTCGCAACAAAAATTCTTTCCTTTACTACCATCTACACATTAAGGTTGTTAATCCCTGGAAGTTTAAGCAAAATCTGCCATCTGGTTTAAGAGGAGTTGCGTTCACAAAATTTCTACATAGTATATAATGAAAAAATCAACAAAGGGCCATAATTCTGTTAAATTTGGTCGCAGCAAAAATTCCTTCCTTTACTGCCATCTACACATTAAGGTTGTTCATCCCTGGAAGTTTAAGCAAAATCTGCCATCCGGTTTAAGAGGAGTTGCATTCACAAAATTTCTACATAGTATATAGTGAAAAATCAACAAAGGGCCATAATTCCGTAAAATTTGGTCGCAGCAAAAATTCCTTCCTTTACTATCATCTACACCTTAAGGTTGTTCATCCCTGTAAGTTTAAGCAAAATCTGCCATCCGGTTTAAGAGGAGTTGCGTTCACAAAATTTCTACATAGTATATAGTGAAAAATCAACAAAGGGCCATAATTCTGTTAAATTTGGTCGCAGCAAAAATTCCTTCCTTTACTACCATCTACACATTAAGGTTGTTCATACCTGGAAGTTTAAGCAAAATCTGCCATCCGGTTTAAGAGGAGTTGCGTTCACAAAATTTCTACATAGTATATAGTGAAAAAATCAACAAAGGGCCATAATTCCGTAAAATTTGGTCGCAGCGAAAATTCCTTCCTTTACTATCATCTACACCTTAAGGTTGTTCATCCCTGTAAGTTTAAGCAAAATCTGCCATCCGGTTTAAGGGGAGTTGCGTTCACAAAATTTCTACATAGTATATAGTGAAAAAATCAACAAAGGGCCATAATTCTGTTAAATTTGGTCGCAGCAAAAATTCCTTCCTTTACAACCATCTACACATTAAGGTTGTTCATCCCTGTAAGTTTAAGCAAAATCTGCCATCCGGTTTAAGAGGAGTTGCGTTCACAAAATTTCTACATAGTATATAGTGAAAAAATCAACAAAGGGCCATAATTCTGTTAAATTTGGTCGCAGCGAAAATTCCTTCCTTTACTACCATCTACACATTAAGGTTGTTCATCCCTGTAAGTTTAAGCAAAATCTGCCATCCAGTTTAAGAGGAGTTGCGTTCACAAGATTTCGGGACGTACGGACAGACGGACGGACGGACGGACGGACAAGTGCAACGCTATATGCTCCCACATTGTGGGGGCATAAAAATTAAGCAGGTTAGGGTTAAACTGAATAAACTTATATCATTTTTAATACTCCCCATTTAGAAGCCACTGACCACTATGACTAGAAGATTAAATCACCATCAATATTGGCCAGTGGTATCCAAGATTATCTTTTATCAAGTTTGTGCGAACTTCATATCTATTACAGCTTTGTGTGTTCCCTGATGCTACTCGGACACTTCTGATCAACATTACAAATCAGAGGGAAAGTAGTAAACAAAGTTCCTAGTTTCGTTAACCTTAAAAGGGTAAAGGTCTATGCAAGCAAGATACCCTCCAACCGCCTAAGGGTTTAGTGCTGTCTGAGGAAGAACAAAATGTTTTCAAGCCTCAGTAACCTTGTAAGGCCTGTACATGTCGACTAACTTAGATACATAAAACTTATATTATATTCGATTAATGTGAGAAAAAAAATCTATTTTAACCCTCAGAGAATTTGCCCTCATGAACCACCAAAGGGTTATGGTCTATGCAAGATACTTTGTCAATAATTGAGGGCACTATAAATATTAAAGTAGTGGGATGGAAGGACACAAATATGGGTCAAACTTGGAACTATTTTACCCCTTTCAATTTTTTCCTTGAACAAAATTGACCTGTCTTTCAGAAGATTACAATGAAATCTAAAATGACTTTGTACACGTTCACCATTGAGATATAGTATGACCGACCAGAAGTACATTCACATCATTTGAAAACCTATTGTCATATGCAAATTTTATAGCGCTGACATATTACGATTATGGAAAAAATACGAGGTGTTGCAGGTTTCCTTTTTCCTCATGTATAAGATATAGAAGATATAACTCAAACATTGATTAGCATTTTTACTTTCTTTTTATTTTTTTACAAATTATTTTACATAATTCAGTTGTAATGCAAAACACAGCATGCCAATTATGAATGGAGATAATAAACTTGGCACCTTCTACAAGATATGTGAAATGGAAACATGATTCTGTAATGAAATAATTACAAAAGAATGAATCAATATTCTAATGTAGATTAGAAAAACATGATGACAGTTTTATGTCATTACAAACAAATATATATATAGCAATACTTGTACAAAGTAAATGGCACTTGATGAATCATCTTGTCAATATGTCTACAGTTTGTTCAAACAAAAGACGACACCTCTTTACTGTATATAATTGAAAATTCATTCAGGTTGGGAGGGGGTATATTTGTTACTGAAATCCTTTATTTTCAAAAGAATCGGTCCTTATAATGAATTTTAATTGCATTTTCTGTCTACCTTTCAAGAAAATCACAATTTAAAAGTAGACCATAATCAAATATATTTTAAAGAAGCGTGTAAACTTATTTTTTCAGATTTACATTAATATTCATAATAATACTGCTGTGTATGGTATGTTAGCATAGAATGATGTAAGACGGTATCTGGCATTTACTTTAAGACAGTAAACAAGTTTTTAATTATATTTATAATTATATCGTCGGGCAGTATTAAGTATGTAATACAATGGCTAGTATTCAAGAGAAAGAAATGCCCTATTACAGAAAAAACATGCACCAACAATGTAACAGGTTTAAGTAGGCAGTCCAGCTGCTGATTTACACATACAAAATTTATACACATATGTAAAACGTATTTATTGTTTAATTATATATATGCATAAACTTGTTGTTCACCATATAACAAGGAACAACAAATACAATTATAGAGTTGAAAGTGACATTATGCCCATCTAAAGCATAAATGGAGAGTGTACAGGTACAAGTCAAAATAACTTCATGTTATGCCCAAAGTTGTTGGCAATTTTATATTTTACTTCACATGTATAATCTAAAATCTATAATGTAAATTCTAAGACTATAAATATCCTTCAGATTGTATCAGTCATATTCAATTTATAAAAAAGAGCAGGGCAGTCTTTTTATATTTTAGGAAGATTTTATATTTTACCTTAAACATTTTTATTATCAATTACTAATTAATAACCATTATAAATTATAATCGTCAATCTTTTGCAATATGTGGTAATTCAGCAAAACTTGACAGCAAAAAAAAAATGAACATAATGTTACTTTTACTTAAATGTTTTTAACAGTAACTATGGTAATATGAATTGAGAATATTTCAAATTTACAAGAAATAATATTTGAAACCGACTGATTAAGGCAGATGAAAATACATGTTATACATGTTTCAACATCTCGTAGAAAACAACATTCACAAATAATAAAAATAAGAAATTATATCTATCTACATATCTTTTTTAATGCACCATCATTTTGGAAAATATGTTCAAATGGTTATAAAAACATTGTAAAGGAATTAAATACTATAGGGACGTCACTGAGGTTTTTTTTGACATGATTGGACTGGAATATTTTTTTATTAATGTTCTATTTCATGAAGGTCTAGACCAATGACTTTGGTGCAAGATTTCAGATCATTTGCTCACTCGGTTTTTTTTAATCAAATTATGTCCTTGTAAGACACTTAAATAGAAAGTAACCTAAATATTAAAGGGTGAAGTAAGAATGCACAGATATGCAGGCCAACATGATTCTATTTTCGGTCCTGTTTTTGGTTTCCAACCCATAACGAAGGGTATAAATATTGTCAAGGAACAATTTCGAAAAAGCAGAAAGGGAAATTTAAAGTTTATGGTTGGTAGTTAAGAGAGGGTAAGAACTTAAAGAAGAGTGTTGTTGGACAACTTATTCCCCTGGCGCCATAGCAGGTCATATTTGCCACTACAAGATGATAGTTGAACAAGACTAAATGTCTATAAATTATAAAATTTCATAGAAACTGCATCAATATATGAAAATATTTTGATATAAATTGCATACATGGCACAAAAAAATCACAGACTAGTTAACGTGCATCTGTGATGTCACTGCAAAAAAAAAACATGTAAGTAAAACTGAAGTATTTCAGAAATGGCAATATTTCTTCAACCAATACCATTTCATACTGACAATGAGGCAAAGAACGCTTTGAATATTTAACTACAATCAGAAAATTCAGAAAAGAATTGCTAAGCAATTCGATACATAATAAAAACTTATGTCATGGCTCAGTTTAACTTAACTATAATGAGATATTTATTGTCACGTCAGGTCACTCATGCAGAATAAATAGACACAGTTTCAAACTATCAAATCTGACAAATATTTCAAAAATGTAATAAATATATAAATATTAATATCTATGTGGTGCTATGCATGTTTTCTGTCACAATGATTGAATCTAATGATTTTATCATCATATTTCAACTGGTTTCTTTTTTGGGGTAAAGCTGTATTTTGTTAATCTTAATTTCATCGCATTATATGTAATTTTTGTAACCACATGTGCCTTAAAGGCCAACTTGAATCACTGGACAGTATTTTCAAATACTTTTGATAAAGACTGGTACTAAATAAGGTGTACTGCTTTAAAGTTAACATTAATAAGTAATTATCAAATTCAATATTAATTTACTGGATCTATGTTGACAATTCATTGAACAATATGATTATATTTCCACTTTTGTCAATCACTCTATTGAAAATTATCGAATGACCATGTTACAATTGCCAAAAAATCTACTTTTCAGTAACATTGTAAATAATTGCATATTTTACAGATAGATATGTCTACAATTTTAAAATACATCATCTGACTGCTTAAAAAGTAACCTAACAAAAAAACAATTTAAAGCAACTTAACAAAAAAATATAATGAAATGAAAAGAAATAATGAAAAACTTCATGCTTCAGTCACTACTTGCCACAAGTCTATATAACTGGTTAACAGTGAAAACTTAACAATTGCCGACGACTAGAAACAAGACTTAAACAGATCATAGCACCATGCTCTGAATTTTATAACTTTGTCATTCCAGTCTTGCTGTTTCAACATGCTAACAATTTTCTAGCTAAACATCGACTGACCATAATTCGCTTAAAGATCCTGTCACTCAAATTTTTTATGGTTTTATATCATAAATATAATGCTCAAATGGACATTTATCAATATTGTAAGTTCCAAAAGCATTATTTGTAAAGATATTACAGAAGTTACGTTTCACGTAAATAAAGGGAGATAATCAAAAATTTATTTCCTATGAAGTCAAAGTCAAATTTTTCAATAAGAAATGAATGCATATAATTTAATGACTGATTCTAATGCATATAAACATTTGAAGTAAAATATTTAACATATTCTTGGCTGTTTGGAAATTCTTTTAGAAGAAAAATTATATCAGAGATCTGCCAAGAATTTGAAAGTACTGGGCCCTGGGCCCACTTGGTCTGAAAATGATGGGCCATTTTTACCAAAGTATGGGCCTTGGGAAAATAAGTAAACATTGACCAAAATAACTGTTAAAAAGTTTGTAGATAATTGAATTTCCCCGGTAATAAAACTTAAATCATATTTTATGACAAGTGGTTCACTTATAATTCAGTACTTTACCAATAATTAAAAATTATGCCTACATGGTAACTTTCTAACTAATATTAATTGCAGGCAAAAATAAAAATATTTTTTAAATGGCTGCTCAAAAATTTGATATGCAAATTTATTCACATAATTGCTGGTTCTTACTTGTAATGTCTTATATTGTGCATTATCCATTTAATTGTTCCTACTTTGCACCAAATGTCCCTTACCACTGTGTATTGACGAATTTTATTGCCCCTTGTATGCCTCTGTGTAGACAGCATACATCAAATACATTTGCCGACAGACCTTTTGGTCATGAAAAAAGTCATGCACAATGTTTCTCTGATTGGTTAATCACCCTGTCAAACATTCTGATTACGAAATATACATCTTTTTTTACACTTCATCAGCCAAAACTTGCGTGAACTTGAGTGACCTTAAATTAGGGTTGATCAAGTTGAACACCTGTCAGATTATACTGTAACTTACAGCATTTCTTAATGGTGCCCTCACACATAAACCACGACCTTACTGCGACCTGAAAACTAGTAAAATAGCATTTTTCTTTCGAAAATCGTTGGTTTTCTTTCAAATTTCTCTCGCAGACGGTCCGGGGGTCTGCAGTCTTGTGTTCAGTACGTTTTCTCTATGTCCTCAATACGGTTCTTCTACGTCCATGGCGTTTCCACTGCGACTGTATTGCGTCCCCAAGGCGACCCCACGGCGATCATCGGCGACCCAGCTGCGACTGTGCTAAGTTCTCTGCGTCCTTACGGCGACTCTACGACGACTATTGCGTTTGTCCGGCGACTGTCCTGCGACCCTACTACGTTCTTGCTACGTCTATAAAAACAATACTTTTACCAGTAGCAGTAGCGTCGCCAAAGGTTTCCGAGCAATTTCTTGTAATTTCATCGGTGACTCTACGGCGTCCTCAGTACGAGTGTACTACGTCTATTGCGTTCTTATTGCGTCCTTACTACGATGCTGCTGCGACTATGGCGACTCCACTGCGATCCCACGGCGACCTAACCAGGACTCAGCAAGAACGCAGAGTTTCTGCGACTGTTTTGTGCATGTTCAAAATAGTCGCCGACGGTCTGCGACCTTGTGCGTCCTTGGGTTCCTCGCTACGACCTCGCTGCGTCCATGGCGACTGTGCTGCGTCCTGGGTCGTAGCAAGGTCGCAATAAGGACGCAGTAAGGTCGCGAGGTATGTGTGAGGGCAGTATAAAATAGCAACACTTTTTTTTCAGTTACCGATAATCATTTTAAATACTAAGTAGTTGTATGATTTGTTTGTTTGTTTTATTGGATTTAATTTACGGTAGTAGAAATGAGTATCTGTGTGGGAAAGGGATTATGAGAAGAAATGCGGTAAGTAGATAACATGGACAAAAGCTATAGGGGATTCTTTATTATGGATAAACTCAAGAATATGCGTAATTACAGGAGCATGGGTAACATGTTGCTGTTGGTACCAGTTTTGACTGGATGACTAAATAACCCAGCAGACAGTTTTGTTTTCTTATATGTCTGGCACAGATTTGAGATGCGCCCATGGCCCTTTGCTGCCGATTTTCCTGCGCCATTCTCATTTTTTTAGCGCCAATGGCGCAAAATCGCGTCCTCGGCAGATCTCTGTTATATACATATATAAAATTTCACTTAAATGTTGTTACATCCTTAAAATTACAACATACAGGATCTGTTAATTGAATTAACTCACACTTCTGTCTTTGTTTTTTGTACATGATATAATTAACTTAAAATAGCTGTTTTATATAGAAAAAAATTGAATTTATTGAAACATAATTAAATAATGTGCACTGAAAAAAGAATTATTTCATTTAAAAATTACCTAAGACTGCAACACTGTTATTTTGATATGTTTTTCCTTCTATAGTACAAATCATAAGATTTATATTTACACGATATGAAAAAAGGGTCAAATGTAATATAAAAATTGTAGAAAAACAATCATAATCATTAATGCTACATTAGAATACTGTTAACAGCTGCATCTAAATCCGCACTGAACTCCCCAGCCGCAGTGTTACCACTGGCACTAGGTATACTACCTTCCATGCTGCTTTGTGATTGGTCCGTTTGAAAATCGATCTCTGCATGAAGATCATTTGAATCACTATACAAAGAATTTGATTGGCTGTCATGATTGTAAAACTGATCAGATTGGCTATAATTATTATACACAGGATCTGGATCGTTTGAAGCACCTTGACTTAGACTGAGGATAGAATTTATTGCACTTTCCATTTGCGCCTTAACTTCCTGGTCCGATTCTTGATCAGAATCTCCATGGACATTAAGAGCGTCTGTTTTGTTCCATTGACCTTGAGTAAGGTCATCATCATCGTCGTCATCATCATCGATCATCACTGATCTTTGATCAGTTCCATTATCAGCAGAATAATAGGAGTTTTCTTCGCTGTCTGTAAGGCTTTCTGTGATAGGCTGATACATGTCAAATTTATCTTCCGTATCGGAATCATCGTCAATATCTACACTACCATTAGAAAATGAAGCACTATGTTTTGGAATGTAAGTTTTACTGCCTGCATCTACACTTGAATGTTTAGAAGAAATATTAGAAAAGTCTTTGGTATCTTTTGATTTATCACTATTATAATACATAGACTCGCTGGCTAACTCAAAATTTCTCCTGTTTTGAAAAACATCCTCACGCTTGGACACACTCTTATTCACATTAAACACGGCATGTTCAGATTCCATATCTGTATCTTGGGATTCCTCTGCTGAGGATATAATAAGCGTCGCTCTCTCGGTCTCGTACATATTTTTAAATTTATCTCGAGAATATTCATTTGTATTCTCATCATCCTCTAATGATGAGAGATTTTCACTATGTTTAATATCGGAGATGTTCTGCTCCGTATCATAATCTGTGTTTTCACTGTCCTCAAAGTAATCGCCCTTCTCCTCCACACTTGACCTTGAACTGTCCATGCTCATTCTCTTAAAAGAACTACTGAAATTCATCCCATCAGTTTTTATCACAAGTTTTCTCATCTTAGCTGCCCTAGCTTCAGAACTACACTCATCTGGATCAACAACTTCTTCTTTTATTTCCACTTTAACATGTGGTGTATTCTCCTCCATGCTGGTATCAGAACTTGTATCACATTCTGTCCTTGTTGCGTTATCTTGACCATCACCAACTTTGTCTGCTTCTTCTTTACAAAGAAACTTCATTGGCATTGGTTTAAATAACTCTGAAATACATAAAAATAAATGCTTTATAACCTAAACAACCATAAATGATAAAACAAACTTTTTCTTCATTGTCACTGTAAATATTAAATAAATATCATATTGTTTTTTTTTTTAAGGAATTTCACAGGTTTGCATTACTCTACTGTTGAGAATAGACCAAGCAAAATGCATATCATGATGAATTTTGACATTCCTCCCCCCTCCCCCCATTTGAGCATGAAAACAAATTCTATGTAAAACATAAAGTTATTTTATACCTGGATTGTTTTTGACCTGTAATTTCTCTTCTTCCAGAGTCTTCCGTAAATCTTGATTCTGCATCCTTTGTAACATAACCAGTTCTGAAGATGGTTGCACCCTCTGAAATAAACATAAAATGTTAAATATTCAACAAACATTATAAATCATTTAAATATGAACTTCAATCCCACTGAAATAAAACAAAACATCTCTTCCCAAAACTACCTTCCTGATCAATATACTACAATTCAATTTATATAAGAAAATGTCACTATCTATCTTTAAGGAATATACAAACATTTTTTTTATATACTGGTATTTTAGAAGTATTCTTTTTCAAAATACAAACAATAACTTCTCTCAGCAAGATGTATAGCTATACAAACTTCAACAATTTTGTAAATGAAGGCAGTTCAACTATGAACAACCAAAGCAATTCGCCTCAGAAACAGTATTAACCATATATTATGTAAAATAATTTACATACCAAGGTTTCTTGAAAGAGTAGTTGACGGAACTTTTCAAACATCCTGTCTTTCTTTTTCAGAATATCCTCTGAAACATCTTCCATGTAATTATCAAACTTGGTAAATTCTTCCTGGCTCGGCCCATAGTTCTGGAACACATGATAACGTAACAATCTCCTGCATGCATCTCCACGGGAACGGAACACACGCTTTGTATCTGGATTAGAAGCATGATTCTGGTCCTGTCTAATCTGCTGGTTGATTCTGAAGTAAAGCATGCATCATATATATATATAATACAGTAAATGAAATACCATCAGTATGAAAGATTTGTTTTGCAGACTTTCTTCTATTCATTGAAGAGCATAACAAGATCTAACAGGAATGAATGTTAAAAGTTTCCAAATCTGAAAACCTTACCACTTACAGCTTCAGAGGCTTCAGCTGCAGATACCTTCGAATTATCAGTTACTGTAAGGGACAAAATTTAAGAAAATATCTTACAAAACATTTGTTTATCATTGCAGTGCCTTTGTATATAGCAATACAAGCAGTTTACATATAAATATATTATAAAGATAAGCAGTAAGAGGGCTAAACATATACCGTACAACTGGTTATTTCTGCGGATAGCTAATTTCTGCCATATTTTGCGGGTCCCTTCACAAAAATTAAATTCGCAAATATTTCGTAGTTTTATATGTAATTTACCTCGTTTGTCACCTCAATTTACCTGTTAAATTAATCAATATACACACCACGCTGGTAGCCTCTCACTCTAGTTAAAATAGATAATTAAAGAAATGTGAGATGTTTAAAACATGTTCTCTGTGTAGTCAATTTAACACAATTGATTTTACATGTATCGTGTAATAAGTTTAGCAAGTTTGAAGGCTGTATACATGCTAAGTAGAAATTAAATTTTAAAAACATTTTTTATGAAAAACGCAGAAACTAAATTCGCAAAAATTAATATACCCATTTTCAGTCCCAAAACGCTAAAATTTACACCTGCAGAATTAACCAGTTATACGGTATGTTGACCATTATTATCATAATAAATTCTTACAAAGTTCCTTTTGGTATATCCATATATGATCTCTTTGTTGCCCTGACAACAGGAGTATCAGTTGGTTGTGTAACAATGCTAGTGTTTGGTATGGGTATAGTCTTCAACTCTGGCTTAAACGCTGCACTTTCTAATGATGTAGATTCTGTGCTTTGACCCTGGATAATGTAATGTAAAACAATGTTTTAGTTTGTTGTTCTTGTTAACGGGGTCTTTTAAATAGACTAACAGCTTGTATTATTAATAATTTGTTCATCTAGCCAACAGCTTGCCTGTAAAAGAATTTTGTGTCTAAATATCTCCTCAAAAAAACTTTAGCCTTTATATAAATTTTCTATTCTTTTATGACTTATTCTTTCCAGTTTCCGAGAGAACATAAATTTCATTTACGCAATAATTAAAACAAAAACACTATTAAATGTGAGAATAACATATGTTTCGAGAATCAAAACACAATTTTCTTAAATGTCTATAATATATAAATAATATTTTTACTTTCTGTTGACTCGCAGCAATAGCAGCCAATTGGCCCTGACCATTGAGGGCAGCTTGTTTTTTCTGTGCCTCAACCTGTGCTTTTATTTGTGCATTTAAGGCTTGCTGTTTCTGGATTCTCTGTAGGACATGCTGCTGGGTCTGTAAATACTGAAGTTGTTGCTCGGGCGTCATCCTGTCTAAATATGACTGGACTTTATCTTTCTGTGCTGGTGTCAGACTCAGTGTTAATACCTTGTCAGCAATCTGTAATGATAACAGATAAATTAACAGTCATTTAAATATAAAGCATAATTATGTATATTATATATTCATAACTTGTGACAACCTGCTACGAGGAACAAGAAAATAGATCCCCTAGATAACTTAGCACCAAAGCATTGATTTCCATATGCACTTGATAGTTGAACTCATCTTAATAAGGCATGTGTGCTCTCATAAACACCAATCAAATAAATGAAGTAAAGGGGCAAAACTCATTCCATCAATTGACAATTTTTCTTTAGTATCCAACACTTCATTTTTGTAAAAAATCTATAAACATCTTTATAAGCATAGGAAAGAACCTTTTAAGTATTAGGCATCAGTTTTCATTTAAAATTAAGGAAGTCTTTTTTTACCTTTATTTGAGTAGGAACGGCAACTTGTGGTGCATTAGATGCAGTGGTTGCTATGCTAGATTGGGTGCTATCAACACTCTGTGTTGGAGTTGTACTAAAAGAAGGCGTATTCACTGTTTGATTGGTTGACATCATTGGCTGATTGGTGCTTAATGACTGACTGGTGGATGACATTTGCAGATGATTTACAGCAGTGGCATTACTGGACTGTGTCCCTAATGTGGACATGGAGTTCATGCCTTGTGATACTGAAACACAATTAAGTTTTTAACTACAAAAATGTTTAAAAAGAAAAAGTAAACATCACAGTTACATACAACAATTAACACAGCTCTTCAAAAACCAGACAAACAAATTCTAAACAAAACTAGAACTATCACTAAATGTGATTAATACCCCCACAAGTCTGCTTCGGAAATGAGGATGTTACTAGTAACAGAATACCTTTTAAAAGAATTGAAACATAGAGTTATGGTTGTGGGAAATTAAAGATAATTGTTGTTCATATATGTTGCATTTCCTTTGAATGTGGTTGGCCATTGATGAAGTTTAATTGAATTACTCTGTAATAAGTCCAGAAAGACAAAGGAAAAAGAACAAAGGGCAATAACTCTATAAATACTGAAGATAGAGTAATAGTTCTTGTGCACTGCACTTCCTCTTATTGTGCTTGACCATTGTATGAAGTTGTTTTGAATTCCAACCAGTATGTTTTAAGTTATGCACCGGACAAGGAAAAGTATCAAAGGGCAGTAACTCTGTATTTTGTCAAATGGATTATGGCTCTTGTGCACTGCACTTCCTTTTAATGTCCTTGACAACTGTATGAAGTTGTACTGAATTCCAAAACAGTAGTTTTCAAGTTATGCTCTGGACAAGGAAAAGTAACAAGGGCAATAACTCTGTAATTAGTCAAGATGGAGTTATGGTTCTTGTGAGCTGCACTTCCCCTTATTGTGCTTGACCAT